TGACTTATATATTCAAAATATTTAATAAAACTAAATATATGTAATTTAAAATAATCTGTATTGAATAGAGGAATATTACTTCTCACAATATATTAAACAAAACAAGACCGTCAATAGTGCTATCTTGCATTAAAAGCACTATAATTGATTAATAAAACTGAGATTATCACAATATACCACTTGAGTTCCGGCATATAGAAGTTTCCACTAAATAATAATAAATATTTATGCTATAAAGAGGTTTTTCGAACAGTAGTAAGCTACAACAACAAAAATTTATTTTATTATAATTTAAAGTAATTGAAATACCCATCATCAGTGATCTTGGAAATAATTTTTGTATTTAACTATTCGTAAATAATTTATTTGAGACTGCAAGTACCAGAAATCGAAATCGTGTCCTGCCAAATTTGATGCTCAAAGTCAACGCGCCTTAACCAGTTGATCCAAAGCCATACTTATTTATGCTATATATAATTTTCTAATATAATTTAATAATATATATTTTAGTAGTGGTCTATTAAAAACTCGTTGCTGTATTCATTTTTAAATTTTAAAATTAAAAATTTAAAAAGAAATCAAGTCACGTTTCCTGAGACAAGTCAAATTTATTCAATTTTCTAAACAACCTTCGAAAATATTTCAAAAGAAAAAAATTAAATTTATTTTTAATATTTTTAAATTGATATAAGAATTTGCATATAACATATTCATTCATACACACACATTATATGCAAGCAAAAATATGAAAAATCTTTTTTTTAATAATTTAATTAAAAAGTATATTTTTGCACATTTGTCGACATTTAGTAATTTATGAGTTTATTTTTTGAAATAATGATTTGTCATTTCTATAAGCAATGATAAGAAATTACAGATTTTTTTTTCACTCGAATGAGCAACTAACTCTGACTTAGTCTACATTCCATAATCTTTTGTACTTGCATTTTATACCCTTCACACATAAACGTCTATATTAAGTTTACCAAAACGTTTATAACACAATAAAAAAATCCCGTCTCAAAAACTGTAGATATTCCTAGATATTCTTAATCAACAGTTTAAGATACATCTAGTTAGTTGTGTTAATCTATATCTACTATATGTCTGTTTACTGTCTGTTTGTCTGTGTTTTAATATATAGAAACTTAAGTGTTAGTTTTCGAAATATTTAAAACAATTTATTATGGACTATTTATAAATCCAGAAAGATAAATCCGACAAATAGATGACTGTCTTTATAATATACCCTATGTGAAATAAATGCCAAAACCAAATTTATTTTTTTATATACATAAAACTGTACATATTCGATTTTATGAGAACTTTACTTATAATTTTTACTTACAAGTAAAAATTATTTACCTCTGTGTGCAGGGTATTAAAAACTCGTTAAAGCCAAAGCTAAATGTTTTGCCTATTTAAAATTATTCTAGATCAGAATTTGGTCGATTAATCCGCAAATAATAGATATTACTAGAATACACATTTTTGAAAATACTCTATCCGGTTTTAGTAGCATTAATAGACAAGAGCATAAATTATGATTATTTTTATTCCAAAAAAGGAAGTATAAATTATCAGTGTTAACTGTATTGACCTTTGGAAAATTGGAATCATGTCGGGAATTGGGAATTTAAAAATTATGTTCTATACATTGTGACCGAAAAGTTTCCGGAAAATTTTAAATAAAACGCAAAATTCTTAATCTTCATCAATATTTATTTTATCTCCTTCAAAATATGCTCCATTAGAAGCGATACACAAATGCCAACGTTTCTTCCAATCATCAAAACATTTTTTATAGGCGCTTTCCGGTATGGCTTTGAGTTCCCTCTGCGAATTCTGTTTTACGTCTTCTATGGATTCAAAACGCGTTCCTCTGAGTGGTAATTTGAGGTTGGGAAACAGGAAAAAGTCACACGGTGCAAGATCAGGTGAATACGGTGGCTGTTCGATGGTATTTATTGAATGTTTGGCCTTAAAATCGTTGATAATGTTGAACAAATTGAGGTGAATCGGAACAAGCCGGGCGTTGACACGTCGCATACACAAATTGTCCACCAAAATCAAACGAGCCATCTCACGACCGATGCCTAGCTCTCGTGCTATCTCTCTAACACTCACATGAGGATTTTTGAACACGATTTCCTTTGCCTTTTCAATGTTTTCGTCGGTGGTAGAGGTCGAAGGTCGTCCAGAACGCGGCATGTCTTCGACGGTCGTACGACAGTCCTGAAAGGCTTTGTACCACTCATAAACTTGAGTTTTCGATAAAACTGATTCCCCATAAGCCTTTTGTAGCATTCGCAACGATTCTGCACACGAAATTTCGTTCGAAAAACAAAATTTGATGCAAACTCTTTGTTCAATATTTTTTTCCATTGTTTTTTTCGCAACGCACTACTGAGGTGAACTGGTTTCAACAGCTGCCGTAAACGAACTGTCCGACAGATCGCGCTCATTTTTGGCATAGTAATTGTCCTTAATTGCTGCCAAACTACATAAACTTAAAATATCGAAAAATATACAGCGCGCGAATTTTAAATGAGAATTTCCGAAAGCTTTTCGGTCACAATGTAAAAGCAAAATGACAAATCTTTAGCATGTCTCTTTTCATACCCAAAGCATTAGGTAGTATGGATACGATAATGTATCGATTTAAACTGTCAGGAATAAATTGCTGAAATCTATTAACAAGATTTAAAAAATAATTTATTATTAAAGAAGAAATAAAGAAATAAATAGCATTTCAGAAAACACATCACATTTAATTTATTTATATTTAAATATATCAAAATTAATTATTAATTAAAAAAAAATTCAAGCCTAAAGATAAGTCAAGGGCAAACAGAGTTTCATAAGAGATTATAGAACATTTAGAAATCGTATCTGCACAAATTCCGGTTGCAATCATTTACACTAAATGTATTTTTTTAATAAATAATATTGACGATAAATTAAATTAAATTATTAACTTAGAGGTATTTCAAATTAAAGAAGCCTTTTTTGATAGAATGCTTTATGCACCGTCAAGCCGACCGTCGTCGGAATGGTGTGTCCTACAGCCTAACATTAATATGTAGTATACGGACTGAAACACCCCCTCTTCAGCGAGACTTATTCCCCCTCGGAACCGCTTTCGCATTACTTCGAGAAGGGTCTCTTTTATGTTGGCATTTTCGATCTGGGTCCAGACCACCACTTTTCACCGCATTTTGTTGGTGTCCACTCTATTTATTATATTTCTTATTCTAGTTTTTAGTTCTCAGACGCTTCAAAGAGGAAAAAGGAAATTACACAGTTGAACATTTAACTTGCGAATGTCAAGATGTACCAGGGTATTTCACATGGAAAGTCCACAAACAACCATGCCAGACAGACATTCCAACTAAAGATCTTACCATGCCTGTCAGGCATCTCAGGTAAAGATCTTAAATGAATAATCTACTTCATCAACCAAGCAAGTAGGATTTAAACATTTGTTTTTAAATCGTATCTTTGAATGTATGCACTTGGATGATAGAAGTTGCTTTGCTTCTACTAAAACCAACCAACCAGCATCTACACAAGTAAGTTTTTGACAAGTTGCTAGTTGCTAAAATTGCCAAGAAATTTCAATGTAAACTGTTTTACGTAAAAGAAATACTTTTTTACATTCAGATATTTAAATCTTGCCAAGAACTTTTAAGTGTAGACATTGGAGAAGCAAGTAATTAATATTGAAATCAGAAAGTATACAATTTCAGTGGTAAAAGAGTAAAGTAATTTCTTTTCGGACTGAAACTACAAATGTCTGATAGCTTTGTAACAGAAGCCTACTAGATGTATCGAATACTTTCTAAGTATAAGATTCTAATCTACATAACATAAGGAAGGCAGCAACAAAGAAAGCTATACTAGAATAACCTACTAAGGCTATCACAATCGAAATTGTTTAAAGTAACTTTTAACTTAATACGTGTCAAAATGATAAATTCTAAAATGGCATGGTAAGTTTATAGAACTTTGGAATGAAACCTCAAAAAATGCGCTGAAAGTTTACGCGGTAACGTCTCATATCGAGTAAAAAAATTAAAATTTTGTAATGTAGGTTCAATACTATAATTTATAGAGAAAGTTATAGGGAAAGCGCAACAATATATCTCTTTCTATTTTGTAGTGTAAATTCGCAACATAATAATAATAAAACCCACAACACTTTTATCATTATCTGGCTATATATCTGTGTTCATGATCAACCCCAATTAATAAAGCCAGATAACCAGATATAAAAGAAATTAGTAAGAAACTCTTAAGCTGAATTGAAATCGAAAATACTCCGTTGAAATAAACATAAACATTGCGGTTCGCGATAAGATTTCTACAAAACTTGTGGCTTATAAAGATAAGCCACCAAAGGTAATCACCAAAACAAATTTACAAAGGTGCGCAGCATTTCTGATTACGCAGTATAAATACTATTCATAAAATCATTACTCGACCGACCTCCCACCTATGAAATATTGCTTTAACAAAACAAACATCATTAGTACTAATCATTTAATGATAAACGTTGTTTTGCTTTTGTTTGACTGAAAGGTTACCCTCATTCTTATCACTGATCTTGTAGATCAGCAGATTTTATTTATTTGAACTATTTTTCACACCATCAACTAAATTTTTCCATTTCATTTTCCTGATATTTTTTCCTTAATGATCGCTCAATGAGTGGTTTTACGTAGTAAATATTTATTACTATTGTTTTTTTTTTCTAAGTGAATATAAACATGTATATATTATACATATTTAATTTGTTTTACAAGTGATATTTCCATTTTTTGCTTTATTTTAGCTGATTAGAACTTACGTCTGCGATCGTATATTGAATTATGTTATTTGCCTATTGTGCAATTTGTGTATTATATATTGTTGTGTTATTTTTTTTAAATTTATTTGATTTGATTAAAAAATTTTAGTAAAAAAAAATCGGTGTTATAAAAGAACCGCACTGACGTCGCGATTGTTTCAAAAACGTTTCAGACCCCATCGAGTCAAGATCGTTGGATCTCGTGCAATTGCAATAATTAAATAATATTTTTTTTTCGTTGGCAAGTGTTTTCAATTAACTAAAAATGCGCCTTTTACAAACTGTGAGTTAATAAATTTTAATTAAATAATTTAAAAAAACATATTATTATTAAACGGAAACCAACTACATATTAATAATTGTAATTTGTGTATTACATGTGCAAATAGAATGTATATAATTAATGCAACTTTTTTAAAATTATTTTAATTTCAATAGAATCCAATTGATTTCATCGATCCTTCGGAGTTACTAAGACCTGAGCCCACATTTGCGGATAAAAGCTTATCAAAATTCCGAGATTATAGCATCGATCCAACTGATCCTTTAAAGGAACGTGTGCGCCAAACATACAGATTAATGCATTTAAATCAAACGGTGGATTCTGTTAAAGGCATGTCAATTTAAATTACTAATTTAAAAAAAAATATATATAAATTATTTTAATAGAAAATATTTAATAACCCTTAATAGACCTATCGACATTAAACATTTTTAAACAATTATTTTCATTCCTAAGTTCGTACTGTTGTAATTGTAATATTACTGTTGCAATAGGTTTCTAAAAATCTATTATTTTCGATTTTCCTGATTATACTGAAATTCGTTATATAGAGGATGATTTTTGTACAATGCTCTATCAAGCTTTCTATAGTATGATTACAGATATGATTATCCTATTATCTATTTATTATAATTATTATAGAGATGAAGTTAAATCCGGTGTCTGGTTTACCGTGACAAATTAATTATTGAGTGGCTTATCAAAAATATAGAGTGTATAATTAAAAGAAGCGTGTTTATGGTATAATAGACCATATAAGTCGCCTTGTATAGTGTTCCCCACTTCGTTAACTGTATTGTTTTTTCAACTGAACCCTATGAGCCGTTGATCTGACTGCTTTCAAAACTATTATTTTAAACTAAACTATTCAACATAGCACATAATAAACAGACGTGTGTTTCGAACTAAGCTCTATTAATCCAATAAAAAATAATAAAAAAATATATCTACAAAGTAAATAGACATGATGAAATTTTTCAAAAGCATTCCATTAAAAATATGTAAAGTATTGTATTATTTTTGGTAGATAGTTAGTTTAAAAATCTGCCGACTTACGTAGACCAATAATGACATATTTGTAAATATACATTCTTCTTTTTTTGAAAGATGATTTCTTCTTCGAAATTATTAATTTCAATACTGAATATAGAATTTTTCTAAATTTATTTAAAGACATTAAGTGAAATTCCAAATAATTTTTGAAACACTCAACTTGAAATTTTATATCATTGACTTAACACCAATTTATCAGGCTCCTGTTAACTCATCTCTTTTAAGGATGGAGTAAAAGGACGCTAACAACTGTATATCCTTTTAAATGCCAATCGTCGTAAGTATAGATTTGATTTCTAAAGCCAATGAGTCTGTTGGGCTTCTCAGTGCAAACTGGACAAGAAATGTACCAGTCCACTAAAACTGCTTCCACTAAAGCATGACCTCTTCAGCACTATGGCATCAATGCTAACCGTTCACTGCTTACTGCAAACACACGCTGTGAGATTTGCTCTACCCTATAATGGCTTTTGACGGAGTTATAGCTCTGTGGATATGAAACTGTGCTCCAAGATTTAAAATCTTTCATATTCTTGCCCGACAGATGTAACCCTTCAAAATTAGAAACATGACCAAATTTATAGAATTATCAGGTTGGTTCATTTTCACTTGAGTAAAAGCGCTTTTGAAAATTAGAACCAACTACTATAATTTTTTATTTATTAAAACTTTCTTACTATTTTTACGTAGCGGTTACTTATATACATTATTTTAAATTATTTTAAAGACAAAATGAATTTTTTTAATTTAATTATTAAAACCTTTCTATTTAAAATTCATTTATTTAAGTGTTAAGTTAGAACTATTTTTCCAGTTTAAATTTCTTTAAATTCTTCAAAAAACTCTAAATCTATAAAACCTTCAGGTTTATAACTGCTATTCTTAAAAAAAAATTATAATAACTAATTAATCCGTTTAACACATTGATTCAATTTTAAAAAATATTGTATTTATCAGCTATAGATAAAAAACCTATTACAATATTTTAAAAAAAAACCATAAAGGCTTTTAAAATCTACTAAAACCATTTATAGATTTTAGTATAAACCGAAGTAAGTGAAAAATTTGGGAATAGCACCGACAGAACTGGTATCAAACAATTTCTTTATCTTTTTTACAAATGCAATGTGAGTTTTTAAAAGATTGATTTAATTTTCTTATGTGTTTACATTTAAAAATCTAGAATGACTTAAACTTTAAAAGAAATAATTTCCCAGTTTCTTATAAGATATGCCACCTTTAATCCGATACCCTTACTTTAAAATCCTAAATTCTGGGATATTTCGAATTATAATTTTTGTTCAAAGCCTACCACATTTATTTAAATTTTCAGAAAATCTTAAGATATTACTACTTATAAAAATTATAAATGGAGAGGTTTCAAAAAGTAGTGAACTACAACAACAAAAATTTTCTTGATTTTATTTTAATTAATTGAATTTTTGGCTAACCATGCAGTTGTTTCGAGAATTGCCAAATACCCATCATCAAAGGTAGTGGAATTATTTCCACATTACTAGAAATACTAAATAGACACTTCCGTCATAACTGACTTTAAATTAAAACTTATATTAAAATTATAAATATTAAGAACTATTTTGTGATAACCAATTTCTGCATATTAAATAATTATTTTATTTGATAAAAAATAATTTCAATGCAATTTATCTAACATTCTTAACCTTATTTCAAGTTTACGACCTTATCAGCAATTATAATATATAAGCCTAACAGATAACGATTTTTTACTGATCCAAACAAATTAAATATTTTTTAAACTTTAACTATATGATGTCATTTTAATTCAATGTTAAAACCACTTCCCTTATATTTAATCTTCACATAAAAACAGACTACTTACACATTTCTCTCTTTAAATTCAAATTATGTATGAACTTCTTTAAGTTACATTTCAAATACAGAAAATTTTTGCCCAAGCTTTAAAGTAGTCTGAAGTTATAAGAACAGGCAAAGGCCCTGCAGTTATAGTAACGTATTTCAGTTAAGCAGTCAAATAGAAACCCTTCAAGCAGTACCAGTAGTTAAGTTAGCAGTTAACAGTCGGCAGTCAAAGAGTTGCGGTCGTGACTACGTTGTTTATATATAATTCTCTAAATTCTATTCTATTTATTGTTAATCTTAATAAAGTTTTTCTTAATATAGTTGCAGATTAAAAGAATTAAAATTGATAAGGAAATAAAGGAAGTAAACTATTCAGATTATTTTAAAGTAATTCTAAAAACAGATTAATATATCACCAAATCCATCTTAGAACTTTCGCTAGATATGTTGATTGTTAACTTTAATCTGATATTTCTTTTTTAATTCTTTAAAATTAAAATCAATTAATGATTTATAGAGATCATTTTTTTCTGAAGAGAATCCCGTGATCAATGGTAAAATATATGTAACATTATATTTAATATTCTTATTATTTCATTTTATTTTATTTTATTTTATTCTATATTATTTTATTTTATTTTATTTTGTTACATTTTATTTTATATTATTTTATTTTATTTTATTTTATTTTATTTTATTTTGTTATATTTTATTTTATATTATTTTATTTTAGTATATTTATTTTATTTATATTATTTTATTTTAGTATATTTTATTTTATTTTATTTTATTTTATTTTATTTTATTTTATTTTTATTTTTATTTTATTTATTTTTATTTTTGTTTTTATTTTTATTTATTTTATTTATTTTATTTTATTTTATTTTATTTTATTTTATTTTATTTTGTTTTATTTTATTTTATTTTATTTTATTTTATTTTATTTTATTTTATTTTATTTTATTTATTTTATTTTATATTATTTTACTTTATTTTATATTATTTTATTTCATTTTATTTTATTTTTTTGTTTTGTTTTGTTTTATATTATTTTATTTTATTGTTTTCCATTACCTATTATTTATTTGTGGATTTCTTTAAGTAGAAAGGTTATCATGTACATTGACATTAGCTTTTAAAACGTTTAATTAACAACACAAAAAAATTTAGTATTTTTCATAAAAAACCTTTCTACAGAATTTATTGTTAATTAAAATTATTCTCAATATAGGTCGTCGTGATAAATGGTTAAAGTTCAATACATTTACGGCCACCATACGTGAAGCACTGGAAAAACTAAACGATTTGGTGGATGAATCTGATCCCGATATTGATTTACCAAATATAGTGCACGCATTTCAAGCAGCGGAACGAGCACGTGCCGAGTATCCCGAATTAGATTGGCTACATTTCACTGCATTAGTGCATGATCTTGGTAAAGTTATGGCATTTTATGATGAACCACAATGGGCAGTTGTGGGTGATACCTATCCCGTTGGTTGTGAATGGGGTCAAAGCATAGTATATCGTAGCGATAGTTTTGAAGGTAATCCAGATGGCAAGAATCCTAAATATAACACAAAATATGGCATGTACGCACCCAATTGTGGTCTCGATAATCTAATGATGTCTTGGGGTCATGATGAATACATGTATCAAGTGCTTAAACATAATAATACCACGTTACCAGATGTTGCATGTAATATAATACGCTTCCATTCCTTCTATCCTTGGCATAATGGTGGTGACTATGAATACTTAATGACACCAGACGACGAAGAAACAAAGAAATGGGTTTTGATATTTAAGTAAGTCAAAACAAAAAGTTTATTTTAAAATTTTTCTTATTTATTTAAATTTTTTTTTTTTGCAGTCGTTACGATCTTTACACTAAAAGTGAAACTGTGCCTGATATTGAAGCTCTATGGCCATATTATCAATCTTTAATTGATAAGTATTGTCCGGGAGAATTGGAATTTTAATTTAAGTTGTATTATTAATCATTAATCATTTGTATAGCAAATTTATATAATTATTATATATTTTTTTTTTATTTATGTTATATATCATCGTATATACTTAAGAAACAAATATCTATTTACTTTATGTAATAAATACTTATATGACCGCCTAGAACCTCACTTATATATATTCAAATACATACATATATGTTACTCGTATTTAATATATATATCTCTGTGATGTACACAAAATATTTTATATATAAATAAATATGTTTAAAATACATAATGTTAAAGTTTTTAAATAAATCAACTAAAAGTAAGTCTTCTCTCAGCTTCTCCACTAATTTTAAAATTAAATTTGAATTTCAATTGCATACTTCAGCGCCTTTAACCAATTTTTCATAGCCAATAATTTTTAACATCGTCAGCAAAATGGGAACAGTTTCTATATCTTTTTTCGAATTATTTAATAAACTATAATTTTATTACTTTATTCTACTTTCTACTGTGTAGTCACCTTTAAGGTATAACTGAACTGTAGTCCACAAAATGGGCTGGAATCGAAGCTTAATCAGATGCTCACCTTTAAGGTATAACTGAACTGTAGTCCACAAAATGGGCTGGAATCGAAGCTTAATCAGATTGTAAGCAAAACACAAAATTAACGCAGTCGAAGCTAGAATCTACCATGCAGAACTGGATGTCTGACAGTCAATCAAGTTGCCTGATCATTACATTGTTACTGTGAGAAAAGCCGTGGAACTAGTTCCCACTAGTTCATAAAGCAACTACTCCAATGTAAATATCTTTGTGAATAGCGAATATCATTACAATTTTTTCATATCACATTAAGTTCGCAGCTATCTCATGTCACAATAATCTAATAAATAGGATAGTCATGCGACAATTAACCGGGAACAGACGTCTGCATATTTGTTGGTAAAGGATATTAAATGAAACGAAACAGTGGTTGAGATAGCCAAAAACGAGGTTCATCTCATATTTGAAATAAACATACAGTATTAAAATAAAATTCATCATCATATGAAAAGGCAGCTAATGATGACAAGACATATCTGTTGAAGAGCCATCATCCCCATTTCGATAAGAATAAAACAAACAGAAACCTCATACAACTATGCGCAATAAAATTAATTAAGATATAGAAAGTCAGATAATGACAAGATAGAAAACCAGCTATACATATTAATTTTAACAAATCTGCACAATAAAAATCCACGAAGATATAAAAATAAAGATGATGACGAGGTAGAAAACGAACTGTAAAACCACAAAAATTATGTGCAAATCATTCGATTCGTACTAGGTGTGTCACAGAAGGACTGTGAAACTATTATAAATATTTTGACCATAGTTTGGTAGCGGCTGTCACATACAAGATATAAACCGCCAATTACAAAGTATACAGAAAATGTCAGAACTAGCAACGAGAATTCGGAACATATAGTATGTTTTTGTCATGCGTTATTAAGAACAAACTTAAATGAAGGTTTGGAGACGTCGACTTCTAAAAGTTTGAGCACACCTTTGACGCACTGTAGAATTGGTGCCACCCTACAAACTGCCTACAACAAATTCATGTAAAAATATTGCTAACGATTTGGACGTCTATGAATAATGCCCAGTACCAAATTATACCATCGATAAACCGTGACTATAACAGAACATACAATAACATTTAATAAAATTTATATTTTATTTTATATAAATATTTTTATTTTACCTTTCTTATTACGAGTATAAACAATGTTAAAAAAGCATATACATATTTGGAACAAAGCTAAGAAAAAACCAAAACACCATAACAAATTGTATTAACGTTCATGCCTTCTTTTTGATTCTTTTCTTTTGCTAGACTTATGGGAAGTTTTGTCATCATAACCGTAACGATAACTTACATTACTACGATCTGAAGAAGTTGAATCACTACGTGAGTTACGAGAACTCGCATGTCGATGTGTGGAGCGTGAACGACGTTCACTTTTGCTCCGATGGCGGTGCGAAGAACGAGAACGGCTACGTGAACTATTTTTTGATTTCGATTTCTTTTTACTGCTACTTTTTTTTAGTTTTTTTAACTTATGTTTTTTAGATTTTTTTACATAATCTTCTTCAACATCTGAGGAAGAACTGGATGAGGATGAAGTACTTTCACGTTTAGTTTTTCGCTTATGTCGGGAATAAGTATCAGGTGAAGTAGAAGATCTCTTTCGAGACTTCTGAATTTTATGTAAGGTTTTAAACATTTTTTCATGTTTAGGTAGCGCTCTTGTTTCACCTACGACTTGTACATCGTCATCATCATCATCAGATAATGTTACAGTTGGTGTTTTAATTAATGGTTTTTCAATTATATGATTTTTGATTGTCGGCTTTAATGCAACAGTTTGTAGTTGTGGTCCGACAACATGAGTATTTGAAAATTCTTCTTCATCGTCAGTTTTTTCATCAGGCCCATAAGACGTTATGGGTATTGAGCGGACTGATGCTTCTGAAGCATCAGAATCATCATTATCTGATTTTGAGTTAATGCTTGCAGTGGTAGCTTTATCATCAACAGTAGTAGATGGAGTGTCTAAGGAATGAAAAGAAATAGTATTTATTTATTTATTTGCACACACAAATAGACAAATTGATTGATTTTTATTTTTAGCGTTTACACCGTCGATCATGGTCATGGGTCGATAACCTTGAAAATGGTTATGGAGCCATGACAATGACTAAGCGCTAGTTAGCAAATAACAGTAGGTTTGGACACAAAAATAGACAAATTTAGAATTATTTAATTTATTTTTTACCTTTTATTTGATTTAAGAATGCCATTGCTTTGCGTTTACGTTCTAATTGTATTTGTTTCTCTTTTGTTAAAAGACCACCCAATTTTTCACGTGCAATTTGTGCTAGTTTGTCTTTCACTTTCTCTTCAGCTAAAAAATTATAATAAATGCTATTAATAAATTCAATTATTGACGATCTAATATTATAGACAAACCTTTTTTTAATTCTTTCTGGCGACTTTGTAGTTGCTGTTCAAATAGCGCATTTCGTTCATTTTCAAATTTAGTGTTTTTAGCCTGCGCTGTCGCATTTTTATTTGTAACTGTCAGGTAGTCGATATCAAAACGACTTGGGGTAGTCCGAGGTAGAACAGTTGGATTACCTGTCGTTCCTGCTAATTGCGCATTTCTAGCTAATAATTGACTTTCCACTAATTTTATTGCCTTTTGTACATGTTCCGGTACCGTACGATTTTGATTTGACTGCGTTGACTTCTTTTCATCATTATCGTCATCATCACTGTTCTCCTGTGGTAGAACTGGTTGCAATGGCTGCGTTGATTCATTGCTTTTAATTGAAAATGATACCGGTGTATCTAAATTAAAAAATAAATATATCATTGCATGTAAAGCTTTAAATCATTTCAAATAATATAACTTACTAAGTGTTTTATCAACATTTAATCCCTTTTTACTTAATAAAGCCGCAGCTACCGCTGCAGCTCTACGCGTTTTTTGTTCTTTTGATGCAGCATCAGGATCACTCGTTACCTTATATAGATAATATGGATAGAATTCATTTTCAGGTATTAGAAACGTAAAACGTTCTTCACTTTTTGTCCGTAAAGTTTCCTCAAATTTTCGCCCATTTTTTATTACATACAAAGCAGTTTTATCGATCATGCTACGTAGATTTTCTGTAGGTATGGGAAAATTTAATACAGGTTCAGGTTTTGGTTCTACATTCGTTTCGGGCTGTTGCTCTGTATCTGATTCAGAACCTGATGAATATCCTTGTGCTAAAGCTAAGGCACTTGAATTTTTCAAGACTTGAACTATTGAAGACGTATCCTGAGAATTCACAGTACAGTTTGAATTTGAATTCGAATTTGAATTCACTGCTACAATATCTTCATCAACTGTTACATATGTTGCTCCATTGTATTGTAATAAAACAGGTGTAAAGTCTCCACCATTTGGAGTAGTAACAGTCGATGGAGAATCTCCAGCTGAAGTGTTGGTGTTTTCATCAATAACTGTTGGTAATGGTACACCTTTAATTTTACTTATCAATTGGGTGTATGCACAATTTGCAGATGGCTTATATTTAATTGTCGGCACAGTAACTATAGGTTTAGTAGGTTCTGGTAAATTTATGCTCTCTTCGACCACATTTGCTATGACCTCATTTAAAGGTTGTTGTGGCACCTCTGTTACCGGATATGTACCATTTTTAATAGCATCCAAAACAAACTTATAATATGGATTAAGTAAACTATTTTGTGTTAAGAACTCAAATTGCACATTATTGGATTGTTTGGCTTTAAGTAAGATTTCCATTTGCACCCCCTGTGAGGCAATGAAACGTGCTGTTTTTTCAATTATTGCATGCTGTTTCATTGTATCCGGCTAAGGAAAATATAAAAACACAAACATTAATAATTATTAAACATTAATAAAAATCTATAAATATTCTTAGTTAAACAACACAATAAAATAAAAATTTTCCACTTTTAATCATGGATTAGTGGATTAATGGAAATGAAGGACAAAGCGAAATATTATAAATGATACTAGCATAATAATATCGGGGTATATAAAATAATGTCAAAAATAACAGTCCAACCACATTTCTGGTCACATAGAACTTCCATGAATATTAATAAAAAATTTGTGCTTAGGAATCCTCTTTGTACTTTATTTAACACAATTCAAGGATTTGACAATAGATTTTAATAGATTCAACTACTTTCAGTTATTAACCAATTTTTTCCGACTTTAATAAGCTATTAACCGTTGTAGCTAACTTTTCAAAATACAGAGGTTTTGTTCACATACACAAAAAATTGCATGCGCCATATAGAACCAACTAGTATGAGGAACTCACACATTTTTTTGTTACAGTAGTTTGTGGCATCGAAAACCATAGTATGAGACTTGAAACCACTTATTAGGATTCGATATATGAAAAATTATAACCACAGAACTTGAAAGTTTAACGGCTGGAATCCATTCCATTAATAAAGGACAGAAAGGGGAGCAGATTTACCAAACCTTAACCCTTTGAAGCCAGTACTTATACATTGATTATACAAAAAACGATTTCCAAGAAGTTGTGGAGCTATTTTTTCGTCTTGATCCTGATTGACTGCAATTTCCCAAATAATAACTCACAAATAATTTCCTCTTCTTTTACACAGCTAATACCCATTCACATCCTGTATTCGTCTTGTAATTCTCTTAATATTATCTCCTTTGTAAATCCCTGCGGGTTACAACATCAAGCTAACATATACACAATTTCTTTTATGAATTATTAAAATTAAAATGGTTCATTTATGCTCGCATAATGCTCCTAGACTAATTCCTAATTCAAATCGCTTTTAGTGAGCCAATTTAATATTAAAGAATAAAATTATCAACCGTATGTCAGACAATATGCCAGTTAAAAAATGTTTAAATCAATTTAAACACAAATTCTTTTATTGAAGACTTTCTTAAAAACAAATTGTACGAGTATATAAAAGTTTGAGATTATTCAGTTATCGAGTTCAGTCTGAGAAAAGGTCTTATTTATTTTATTATTATAAAAATACTCACCAATTTTATTGATACCGGCACATCAAAATTTTTTGGCATAACATATGCTTGTTCAGAATCCTCACAGGTGGGTGAATTTCTGTAATCTTCATGGTTGGGGCCATGTTGGACTCCAATACTACCACTGCCTGTCTCACTACCATACTCAAAATTGACTTGACTGTAACCACCGCCAACGCTTTCTTGTTTCAGTCGTTTCAGATCCTCTTCTAATGATGATGTGATGTTAAAGCATACCCAGTAAGAAAATAATAAAAAAAAGAGAAACCAAAATAAGATTTCTAAAAGAATTTACACGTAGAAACGTAAATTTTAACGAATTTTATGTATTTAATTCTATGAAAATAAAGAATCTAAAATTTTTATTTGTTAAATTCAATTATAAAGTATTAAATAAAAAATAAAATATAAAATAAAATAGTTTAGAGAGTTGTTTTTTTAAATTAAATGCTGGAAAAGTTATTGTAAATAGCAGGTAACGTTGTTCAATATATGAACTAATAACTGCATGGATCTGTAAAGATATGTTTACTATATAAATATTGTTCGAAATATTTACCTGCTTTTGACGGCATTTACAGATAAGAAATAAGGTGAATTAACATAGAAGCGCGCTGAAGCTAATCTAGATTGTCATATGGTGTTCCAATGTTGATGATCCAATACAGGCACGATAATCAATACTTACTCGAAAGAATTCTTATAACAATTTATTCTTTTTTTTTTTACTTTTATTAATGTATTATAATTTCATTTTTTTTTTTTAATTAACAGAAAATTATGAGTTTTGTTATAAAGATTTCAGCTTTTTCAACTAGGCGCATTTTTTTATGGACACTTTCCCTTAACTTACCTTGTTGCAAATTAAGCTCCTCTTCATTAGTGTATAAAAACAAGTAACGCTCTTCCTCGCATAATTGTTCAGCGCGCTGTTCATCGGCACTCAAGTAGTGAAGGCGATTACCATAACCCCCAGGAGGTGCTTCATGCGGCGTTAAATCGCAGAGCGCGCCACGTACATCGTATCTGATAAGAACCAATACATGTACCATTACGATTTTATGAAGGGATTTTATCGTACGTTTTAATGAAAAAAGAGAAAAATTCCAAAGTTACCAAAAAGGCGAGAGGAAATTTTTAAATAAACCCAAAAATATTGCTTAATAGGATTTGGTTCAAAATCAAGCGTCTTTTTGGATTTTAATTTCAAAAAAAAAAATATTGTTATATAGAAATAAATTTATACATACCAATCCGTGAAATTAATGTTTTGTTTAATAGAAAAGTTTAAATCTAATTCGTGGTGTATGCATTTTTATGCATTTTATGCATTTTTAAACCTAACACGGCTGTTATAAAGGTTTTATTCGATACTCCTTCAAATATGAGTTATGTTTGTAGATTTAATACTGTCCTCACATATTATTAATATTATATCTTTTTTATTTTCATCCAATTTTACCATGACGTTTAATAAACGTTCTGTGAAAAAAATTTGTTCAATATGCAAGAGTTGTTTCTTTTTACTGAACATAAGAATATATGGCATAGATATAAATTATCTCTCATATCTGTGCCATAATATTGCCCATTATTATTGCTATTTTAGCATAGAATGTTTTTATCTTAATAAGTAGCTTTTGTAATATACCGAGGGCCGGTATCAAGTTTTAGTCTTTAACGTGCTACTATTGCATAAATAAAACACAACACTCATTAAGGAGCTTAATAATAAGATAACACTTATTATCTTAAAAGTAAATGACAGCAAAAGGCAGTTTTTACTCCATGAATTGTCTTCTTTAGAATTCTGCTTATTTATATTTCTCTTCTCAACTACTTTCTAATAACATATTTTTCGATATACATAAGTTTACGATATATAAGTATTGCATAGTTGATAATAGTCATTAAGTCTTTGAAAAGTTAGTAACATATACAACACTAAAATAACAGTTTAAATTTAGCACAATCTACTAATATTAAAAATAGTTATCAATAATTTAATAATTGAGACGCAATTGTTTTAATCTAAGGAAATTATATGCGTGGGTCACTATTAATATGATAAGCATTGGCAATCGGAAGTATAATTAGCTGCAAGCTGACATTTCCATCGGAAAGTTGGACATTTTTGGCTGCACAGATACTTTGCATCATTTGCTCTGAATCAAGTTTAAATATTTTTCGTATGATGTTTTATTAAGATTTCCGCTCTGTGCTATCAATATAAGAATGCACCGGTAAATTTACTTCTACTTTTAACGATAAAGCCCCAGATGTTTGATTGTTAATATCGTTTGCGCTTGAACAAAATTCGTAAAAGTCTTTCAAAGCCAGTTATTGTGCCAAAACATATTGACCGTGTGTAAAATTTATGCAAGATCATCATATGTCATACTGTGAGCATAAGCCAACCGTAAGCATTAATTTCATCGTGGAAAGTTTGTTTTTCATCGAGTCTCACAAAATTTTACATAATCCCAAAAAAATAATATACTCGTTGTAGCCCATCTTCTGGGTGTGGCAAACGGCGTTTGATCGTAAACTCGATGAGTGGCTTCGGGACGTTGCTCGGTAATTCTTGGACATGATACTCGTAGGAATTGGTGCGAAAAATGATGCAAAACGTTGAAAAACGTGTTTAAGGTAACAAATTAGGAATCTATGCAAAAGTCAACTGTATGATGAACCAAACCTAATAATATTGTTTGCGCTTGAAGAACACCAAACAAATGGCGTGTGGCGACAGTCCCATTACAACAAAGTTAGGTGGTAAATTCATGAAGATATACTAGTATTTTTTGCCAGTAGAAAACCAAGAAACGTAACTACCACGACAATGCAAGCACCCTCACATCCATTTAAACAGTGACGTTTTGAGAAGCCAAAAAAATCCTATCAAAAAGTCCACCTTCGTAGTCCTGATATGTTATGTACTTTATTTTGTTCCCGCACAAGTCCAGCTAGGGGACAATGATTTTCCTCAGCAGAAAACGCGGTTGTAAAGTTCAAAGTCTGTTGTTTAAGAGGTGTTCACCCAGCGGAATAGTATGATAAATGATTTCACGATAAAACTGGCAATATAAATAGTGACCCTTGCAGTATACAATAGTTAACAATATTAAGTTCATTATTACTTTCAAACCTTGGAATCCCCGTTGAAGAAAAAATATAGAACATTACATACTATTTCCTTCATTCTCAGTTTTATATAAATTGAACAACAATTTTGAACAAATCAAAATGTTATCAACTAATTCATTTCTAAAAATGCAATTATAAGCTATAACCACAAAAATGATATAACATGTATATGGTCAAAATTTGCTTTTCATTGACCAAAAATTAAGGACTGTAGTAGGACTGCAGCATTGGAATACCCTAAAAACCACATCCATATCATTTGATATATTATTCTGCTTATTGTTATCATTAAAACAATTTAAGTTATAACATAACATGTTCCAAACCTCCTTGCTATAAACTATAAATTTATATTAAAAACAAATACATTTTTAAAACTAATATCAACTGGAAAATAAAGCAACAATTATTAACCTGTCAATTTTGTGGCTATTGTCCCCCATCCATGGTATTAGGTGTTTGCCCTGATCAATTTCACGTGCCTTATCATCATCACGAAATATTTTACAGGCATACCCAAACACCAATAAGTCCACTTGCCGCGCTTCACCAACAGTGTAGGCAGTCGCTGGGGTAGTTGTTTGATTTGCGTTTGCATTATTTTTCCGTAAAATGCCACCAACGCTACCACCAGCGTATTCACGAAACTGCCGACCATTTAGATTCATATTTATATTCAATCAAATCAATATCATACAACACTATTATTTATACATCCACAATATGATTATTTTTTAAAAACAACTCATATGAAATTATTATCTTCAGCAGAAAATTATTTTTCACAAATAAAAAAATTCTTGACAGTTTCTAAGTATTCACAAAATTAAACAGAATTTAGCTATTCACAATAGTTCAGTTTGATGAAGTAAATTTGATTCTTTTAAAATTTAAATTTAATTGTAGCTTTGGTTATAAAATTTTTGATATTTTATGAAATTGAATTATAATTTTGTACTTAATTTTGGCTTAACTTTTAACTTAATTAATGCACATGCAGAACAAAATTAAAATCGAAAGTACAATTAATTATTCTGTTATGTGAATAAACCGTAATACGGCATTTACACTGGCCTCAAATGGAAGCAAATGACTTATTTTTGCATACAAAATCTCAAGCGCAAATGAGATCCATTGGAACTCATTCTGTAAAAATGAGTTCAAACAACATTAGAATGAACTCCAAATATGTTCCAAATGCAAATGAATACATTCAACACACCCTAAATAAAAGCTTTTCATTGTATTTTGACAATGTTTGGTAGTTGCATTTCTTTGAAAACGATGCGCAATTTTTTTAAAACTTCTACTTAATCGAAGATAAATCGAAGATAAAAATGTGTTTTCAGTTTATATTGTAAGATTTGAAGGTATATTTAACCTTCATGCAACATTTTTTGGCACAGGCCAAAAATCAAATCAACAGGCAAGTTGAAAAATTAGCTATTTGAAATGAGAACAAATGAATTACAAGCCATGCAAACACTTTCAAATGGTTCATTCGAAATGAGCTATTTTCAGCCAGTATAAACGGCATATAATACAGGTATGAAAATTGCCACTAACATCACTTATATTATATTCAGACAGCCAAATTTCCTTAATTTCGTAAAAATTAAATTAAATTAATTTCGAAAATGTTCATACTGCTCCAAATTATAGACATCAAATGTTTTTTGTTTACAAATCACATGTTAAAAATTACATGCTTCAAACACCATTTGTATATAGAAAATTTTAAACGTTGATTATTATAACTATAATGGATGGCATTCAGTAATTTTATTACCTTTAGTGAATTTTAGGTATGTAAATTATTACTTTTCACTTTATTTTAAATTAATAACATTTAATTTTTTCTCTATATATAAATTTAAAAATTTGCATTACTTTCAAAATATTTTCCCAATTTTATTAAAATTAACTGCCTCTAACGTTTATTTAAAAAATATGTCACTTTTTCGTTATCTCAACTTTATCTTCTGCTTAAAATTTATCTTACGCATAGTTGCATTTGAAATGTCCATTAATTTCAGCCTTTCAACGAAATTGAGGCCATTTTCCTTAACCTTAAAACTGAATTTTATATGAAAAAAAACAACTTAATGTCGTTGAAATGAAGATGAGATTAAGATTTTTGCGAAATTAAGGTGTGTCTGAACATAGTATTAGATGTTTAATAAATAAATTTGAAAACTTTTAACAAAAAAAAAAAAAATAAATAATTACTTTTTATATATTATTTTCTTTTTATTATGAATAATTATATTTTTTAATAATTGTATCACATATATTTTATAATAAATTGATTTTAAAAAGCTAAGTGCGAAACTTTATGCTATTGACCTGGCAACGCTATTTGTTTTATATATTTTTGACATATATTTAAATTTTATTAATAACAAAAGTAATATCAGAGTGTAATGTCCCAAAAACGGAAATATAATGAAAGATGTATTTTATTTATTTAATACAGACTTAACAATACGTTTATAAAATACTTTTTATTTATTTAAAGGGAGCAAAGAGATGGTGGACCTATTCATTGCAGCACGCATACGGCTGGATGATCTGTTCACTCGGAAGCGAGCAAATCCCCGAGAATGCTGGGAGTAAGTAATTAAATAAATAAATAAATGTTTATAACAAAATATTTATTTGATAGGCTAGTTGGTGAGGAATGCGGGGCAAATGACGACTGGACTGTGCTCAAGCAACGCTGGAATAATTTAAAAAAGAAATATCAAGTAAATTAACTACCTTTTAAATCTATTGAAATACTAATCTATGATTTTTTTAGCGTCTTAAAAATCCACCAACGGGTAGTGGCAATTGTGGTGCTGACAACGCAATAAGTTGGCCATTTTATGATCAACTTCATGAATATTGCAGTCAGCGCCATAAAAAGAATCCGCCACTTATAATAAACAGCGAAGAGCGCAGTCCAGACCCAATTGCCCCGGATGTAGAATGTATATTAGGAATCACATCGCCAACAAGTTCCCAGCATTCCGGGACGTCATCCAGCCGGGCCACAACTACACAGGCGCTTCTTAATTCGGCAATGCGAACAGAAAAGGAACTGAGGAGGGCGGCACGAGCCATAACTCAGTATATTTCAACTTCTTTGCAAGTTGAAATACCATTGTCTGATTCTGAGTAAGGGAGTGTGCAGTGCACATCAGCTCATTTCTTGTATATATCTACTATCTTATGGATCACTGTTAAAGTAAGTAAAGTTTTTATTTTGGATATTTTATTTACAATATTTATTTAATATGTTTTTATTATAGTTCCAAATGTCTACAAAGTTTGAGAGAAAAACTAGTTCATCTCCTACAAGTAAATTGAGGCTATTAAATTTTAATAGCTGTACGCAAATATTAGCAAATAAGTACAATGGTTCTTTACTTCCTGCCGACTGTGAAATATTTAACGTACCAATGGTGCACTGTAAAACATACCGATTACGCATAGTGACTTTAATACATGCGACAAGGTGCTGAACCGTATACAGTATCCACCAGCAAAGTTCAAAATATTAGTTAGTAAGAGTGCTCCGTAAATTAATTTTTATAGAACAATTAAAATTTTCAAAAGACTATTAAATAGTTTTAAGAAAATATGTTTGGTGTATTATTTAAAATTTTATTTGTACTTGTTATAGATGAATTCTATTTGCAATTTCATCGCGCATAAAAGTAACAGCAGTGTTTTCTGCTTCAGTGAGAACTACTTCATAGTAGAGGTGTTCCGCGGCATCAATCCGTTCATTAATCTTGAAACCATCATTCAGACATATATTATGCATTATACACGCTGTACGAACGCTATTGTTTCAAAATAAGGTTCGATTTTTATTTTAAGTATTTTGTCGAAAATACACCACCAACGCAGTATTCAATAACAGTGCGAGCCTTACTGTAAAGCTCGTTAAATTTTATTTGTCTTGATGTTAATGACTGGAATCTTTTATATGGAGTGATAATTGCAATTAGACTAGTCCGCCAACAACATCCACTATCACCTACCAGGTAGATAGTCTTATACCAATTATTTTATTTTCTGAAACTTTGTCTTAAATAGCGAACTTTAAATCGTAACCTATGTCTTGAAACCTTTTAATTCCTTAAAAAAATTTATAATAAAATATATCTCATTAGTGGTTCATTTTTTGTTGTTTATTTCCGCCGTAAGTTGCTTGTCAATGTCTACGACATTTTTAAGTAAATATAACGTTTCATTAACTCCTTTACGAATGTATTATGAAAAAAGTACTATCAAGCAATATGGAAATAAGAAATGGATTAAAAACATTGGAAACTGATATTAAAGAATTGTTTAACATTGCTGCTCTTGCAGTCTGCGATGTTAAGAAGAGCTTTGGCAACGATATCTAACCAGTATATCCACGATGTTCCATAAAAGAGTTAATAGCAAAAATCAACTTAACATAGTTCTGTAGATGTTTTATAAAATAGAAGGAAAAGCTTCACTTTTTTACTTTCATAAATCAAAGTACAGAATTGAAATAACACCTTCTCTATTCCCAAAAAATAGAATAAAAATATTTGACGTTTAGTAAATATGTTTTATTTTTCGGTTATTTATTGTTAATATTTTCACAAATATATTTGAAGTGTATTTTTTATATTTCTAATTTTCAGATATATTAATTAATAAGTTTAATTTTGTGTGCGCATCTATAAGGGTGGACTTCATAGGTCCGTCCAAAAACTCTTTTGCGGTCATATCCTCCAATTTAATTACTGATAATAATTTTTGCATAATAATTTTATTCGCTCCACTAATACTAAGTGTATCTGTATCGTATACATTTTCAACACGAGTTTCTTTTATCATAAAATTGGTAAGCACATATTTTTCCATTATTTCAAAAAGTCTCAATTTCCCTAGTATTATACTAAGCCTTTCGAAGACCAATAAAAAATATGTTGGGTTTAAATTATAAATCGAAGACGGTACGCCTCTATTACATCTTAAATAAACAGAATTAAGTATATTAATACATGTGTTAGAAATTGGAAATTTAAGACATTCCACGAATTCCAATAATGTAGCATAACTGTTTTTCAGATGCTGACATTTATCACTTAGCGAAGGAATCATGTATTTATCGCTTAAATACGACAACTGTACAATATTTTTTAAGGAACTTGTATTTGGTACAACGTCCCAATAAATAAAATTCACAAAATATTCAAATACAGAAGGTTGAACATCATTTAAGCGAATTTCACAATTTTCTTCAGATTCTGAATAATTTCCATTGAACATCGAATTGAAAACATCTGAACATTGTGCTAAGACTCCTTTGTGACATTGTATTCGTTTTATTTCGTCTTTAGCGAATCCAACAATAAAAGTGCAATCCGTAGGTGTATTTTCCAAAAACTTACACCAAAAACTTATAAAAAAACAAATTATATTGCATTGCACTTTTCTAACAAATAAATGTTTATATTATAGTTTATTATTAACTTACGAAAGTTCACTCCACTTCTTATCTTTATTTATAGACATTTTTGCAGAATTATGTTTCGTTTAGCTAATTTCGTCAACGTGATGTGTTTGTTCTGCTGTTTGGATTGGAGTGAAACAGGGAAAGCACCGATTTCGATAGTAGTTGAAATTAAAATTTTGGGATTGTAATGTAAATGTCAAATAGTTAAGTGTTGTAAACGTACATTAATAATCATCTGTGATAAATCAAAGTATATATTAAAAAGAATAAAAATTTCGCTCACATAGAGCGTAATCAAGAAAAATTGCTAAAAAAAATTTATTTTTTATAACATTTTGTAACTCTTAGTGAATTCATCTGATCGTACCACGAAGACGTCAATTTGCTCCCTCTTACAGTTGCAATATTATTATTTGTTACTAATTTCTAATTACTTATAGAATTATAAATTATATATACTAATTACTTATGTTCGCTTACTTATAAAGCTAATTTCTTTCTTGATTCAAAATGATATATCATCAACATTATTTCTAATAGCGTTTTTGATTGTTAAATCTATATTCAATTTAGTTTTACTCTCGATCTGTCAAATTTTGTTACCCAATCGAACATTTTTAGAGTAATCTAATATTTTTGTAGTAGCGTTAGAAGATATTTATATTTTTTATAAATACATACATATGTCGAATCATATCATATCTTTTTTGTAGTCATATAAAACAGTTTTAAATTTCATGTCAATCTTGCTACTCTGGTAAAATGCCTAAAGTGTTATAAATTAATGTATAATTTAAGAATAATTGTTCCATTTATACAAATTTAATTAATTAATAATTTTTCTTTTTATCTGTTGTACTTTATATAAAGAAAATTTTATAGACGACAAACACAAAAAAAATATTAGCTATTAATCGAAAGATGTGCTCAATAGCACATCTTTCATTTTATCTCTTGAAAGAGGGAAATGTCTTTTCAGTCTCCAGAATATAAAACATTTTTCTAAAGATTTTTGAGTATGGTAAGCTGAAAGAAAGATAGTTGCCATAATTGCGTTGTTAGTGTAATTCCTGATTGTGTATAAATCAGCTGTTAGTTTCAGGGTAATCTTAGTACTCTAGTAAAATATCTAAAGTGTTATAAATTAATCTTGAATGCAGTGGCGTAACTACAGGGAAGCAACTGGAAGCAACGCTTTCGGGCCCCCGAATTTAGGGGGCCCCACTATAAATTTTTGTATTCATTGTATTTCTTTTTAATAAATTCTCAAAAGTGGGACGAAAGTTCCACTTTCCACTATTTGCAAAAGTTGTCTTTTGCAAATATCAGTACTGTATACACCATATTCCATTTGAATACCTTTATTAAAAACGGAGAAACCTCATATCCGATTGTTAAGTTTATATCACAGCTACAAGAAATAGACGTCCAATTTCAATCAAATCAAATGGTGAAGAGGGTGCGCTCCCGAAAAGTATGTGTATAAAGTTTTATTCGAAGAGTTCAAAAGCTGAGAGAGTAGTTTGAACTGTAAAAGTATACTGATATATACTTAATGGTATTTCCGAAGTTTCCTTTAATGCGTTACGAAAATCTTGACAAACCTTATATACCCTTTTTACATTTTTTCGTGTAAAGAGTATAAAAAGAGGGGCCCCTTAGTATGTTGGTAGGGGCCCCTTAGTTAGAATTTGCTTACAGGCCTAAAAAATGTAGTTACGCCACTGCTTGAATGTTATAAATTTTTCCCCAGATTTACCAATCTGAAATGAAAATTGCCTAATAAAGACTATAAAAGTACATCTCAATGGAAAAAATTACCCCAGATTTATCAATCGAAAACGCCAAGTGTGAATCGATTCAACCTATGTATTAATGATGAATATAGATGCCTATTTACTAGTTATAAAAATGTTAGATGTCTCTAAAAAATGTCGATTGGGCAACAAAATTTGACAGATCGAGAGAAAATCTAGATTGAATCCAGATTTACCAATCGAAGAGGTCATAACTATGTTCTACCATGCCCATTAAGCGTTTGTAATAAGCTTTAATGAAAGGTTCAGACCAACTAAATTAGTTTAAAAGTCATACGTTTGCTTTATCATTAGTGAAAACACAAACATTTTTTATGCAGCTCTTTCTATAACAGAGCTGTACACCGAAACCTTCTAACTTTTTTGTCATCTCTCTAATTTTTTAAATCACAAACCAAATCATATAAATTTTAACTCAACCCGTTGGTATGGAAGGTATAAAAATTGGTTTCTAAATAGAACTAATATTTCAAATAACCACATAATTTTGAAATTAAAAAAAATTTATTTACAAAATATAAATATTGATTAACACTACATTTTTCAAGATGGTTTTCAAACTTTCGAGTTCTTATATGATAACACAATGGGCCAATAGGCCTAAGTGGATCCTTCTACACAATATTTTAATATGTAACAAAATTTTTAAAAATTTCTGTGTAACTATTTAAAAAATACTATGTTTGTTCTATGGATCCCAATGATCACAGCAATAATATGATAACCTAAACTAAAATAAATTGATACTACAATATAATACTTGATTTACCAATTATAAAATAACAAAAGAAACTACTATAAATTTGCATTACACACATTTATAAATTAAGAACTTTTTGTTTTAAAAAATTTCGCAGTAGCTGCCTGCACTAGACCAAATTTGGAAGGCGTTTGCAAACACCGCGAAATCCAATGTGGCAGTTTCTTCTGAATTCGTTCACTGGAATAGCGTTCATCAAGTAAATAAACACAAGCATAATCACGTATATGCCGTACAGAACGTCCAATACATTGATTTACAGCTTTCATACATAGATTCTCATAATACTCGTTTCCAGCACCAGGTTTTAATGTTATATCTAGATATTTCATGCGTTCTTGAAGCTCAGGTGAATGACGATTAGGATACGGCATCCCAACAACAATAACTCCACGACCTAGATCATCAGCAAAATTGAGCCCTTCACTCAGTTTACCACCAACTACACTAAATAACAAAGCACCATGTTTTTCCTTAATAGCATTTGAGTAATCGACTAACAATTGCTCTACAGTGTGGCCAACAGCTGCAGTGCCACGAGGCTCACGAAAAATACATTTCTTCTGGCTAATACTCGCAAGTACTTTGTTTCGTTCAAAATGCGCATATACTTCATCTAAATATTCATATGAAGGTAGAAAACAAACCACACCGGCAGGCACCACATTGCATATATTTTGTAAAATCATGCCTAATTCTGTCATCTAATAATATACAATTAGAGTATATTAAAATAATCTGGTATATATTATACGAATTCTTTACCATATCTTGATTACCGCGCTGTGTAAAATTAAAACACAATTGCCGTCCCGTTGGGCCATTTGCTACAACAAATGGCAAAACAGCATCGGAGGAGACTACATGATCATAAAAATATTGTTGTACGCGTGTTGGACATTTATTGAACAATTGCTCAGTCAATTCTGTAGTGGGTTGCATAGTGCCACCAGCAATGACGATCTATTTTAAAATGATAAATAAGCAAATGTGCATGAAAATTAAAATTAAAATAAACATATATATATGTACATACCGCTCTTGCTTCATTGATGATTGTCTCAAAATGGTTACCAGGATTTAGCAGCAAGTATTTAAGAGTGCCACTTTTAGCGTTGGCATCGTAATCAATAAAAACACGTCCATCATCAGCACTTTCGGTTAACGAATCAATAAACGATAGGAACGGTCGCAAGGTAGAAACGGAAACTGGAATCCTGGGTTTATTACTATCGTTCACAACATTATCTTTCAAATCTTCTTCTTTTGTTTTATTTTGACGCTTTTGGGATTTACTTTGGCGCTCTGCATGTTCCTGTTGTAGTTTTTTCAAAATATCTAAAGCAGCTGAATTTTTGACCGGTGGTTTATTTTCGCTGGGTTGTGGCTCTTGATTTTGTCGCTGTGCAAATCCTTGTAGCTTTTGAGCTAAACGATTATTTTCGCAAAATTGCACTAATTCTTTGAGATTTATATTAAAGAATTCTCCTTCCGATGTGACATCATAAGTGCGTAATGTGCGCCTATTACTATTGGTGCCGTCCCCATTTGGCTTTATGAGTTTTATTAAACGTTTAACTACGAATATCAATTGATTTATGCGCAACAGATTTGAGGTATTAAAGCGTTTAACAAATTTCATTTTATATCCGGTCATTTGCTGTTGTAAAATAGTTAATTGTTGCAGAGAAATTTCGCAACTGTACAGCTGTGAAATTGTATCCAATAAATTGTGTGCTTCATCTATAATTACAACAGCTCCACGTAGATTAATGCCACTTTGGACGCGTGTACGATGATGCAATAACATTTGATAGGGCAGCATTATTATTTGTGCATCTTTAGCAGCGGCACGTGCGGCATAATAGGGACATAAATGCGTTGACTTGCCTTCATTAACAAGATCTTCTATATCTGTTATATCGACAAGCGCAGCATCGCTTAACTGATGCAACATTTGTACACGTTTGAAGGAACAACCTTTTGTACCACTAAGTTTTTGCATCTTTGCATTAGAAACTGTATTTATTTTATCTGAATTTTTCGTCATATCCGTACAACGTTCATTCATTAAAGCCACATTAGTTAGCTTACGTACTTGCGGATTTATACACAATTGTTGACGAGAAGCTAATGAAACACATCTTATCCGTTTTCCATACGCAGTTTTTTTTATTTCTCGCACCACTTGTGAAAGTTGTGAATGTGTACGACTACAAAAATATATCTGCAATATACAAACGATTTACATTTGTTCAAAATATATTATTATTTACATATTCCTATATTACCTGTACTGATGGAAAATCATTAGACTCTTGTTCTTGAACTTCTTCGTCGTCCTGTATAATATCATCTAATAATACTTCATCTTCATCTAACACATCAGCACTTTTTGCCTCATCGAATGTACTAAGTGAACTTGAGTGAGTTTGTTTTAAGTGTTTACTGTTTTTTCTCAATAATGTATGACGTTCACGCATCTCTTGCAATCTCTCTTCTTCTTTTTGCAGCAATTCCCCTAATTTCCGCAACTCGCACAATTCCTTACGTTGTTGTGCTCCTTCATATTGTATGCTAATCCAGTCTACAGATTTATTGCTTTCTTCATTGAGGCGTTGTATACTATTTTCAATTTCTGTTATTCTTGCCAACAAATCCTGACGTACTAAATTTTCATGTGACTCTAGCCAGCGTAATGCGGCACATGTCAGTGTCAACGATTTCCCCGTTCCGGTTGGACTCTCAAAAATACCAATTTTTTTGTGTTCCAGCACATCGAACAAAGCCTCCATTAATTGTTGCTGTATGTTATATGGCTGGTATGGAAAATCAAATTCCGTAGCTGTTTTTAATTTAGTACGTGGCGAAAACATAACTGTTGTATTAAGTATACAATCAAATATTTTATATCTAATAGTTTTTAACTTTTTAATTGAATACTGCAAGCCCGCGAAAAAAACACTACAACAATAAAATGCCGCATCAACCTGTCGTTATAGATGTGTGAAAAAGCATTATGGTTAATTCACAATAAAATTTCCTTTAATTCACATTAGAAATCGTGGTGTAATTTTGTATCAAGGAAAAGCTTTTATTATAAGAACTTGCAAAGTTTAAAGATTTTATTTTCAGAATAAATTTTACTACAATGTAAATACTGTTGTGTATAAATTTGCTTGTTGTAAGTTTACTGTAAAAACGGCTTTTCAAATAGATCTGATGGAACATGTTTAGTGTGAAAACTCTTTGCTTATAACTTGTTCCCATTGCAACTAAATCAGTTTATGTACATTAAGGCTTGGTTATTTCCAACGGCATAAATAAATTGATTTATGCTTATGAAAAAGCTTTTAATGTTAGAAAGATCGGTAAAAGCTATTAATTGATGACGGAAAACGAAAAAAATTGCAAAATATTTTGTGTATATAATTTATTTATAAAAAACAAACATTTTAACAAGTTCTTTCCTCATTTACATTGAACTTTGTATTTTTGTTAACATAGATTTTGTTTCATATGTCAAATATATCAAATTTCGATCATTTCTGTTTTGGGAAATATATTTTGTAATGTTGAAATCAACATTTTTGGTGTGAATTCCTTTACGGTTCATCCACACCAAAGCGAACGTTTGTGAACGAACGAAGTTTTCGCAAGCTTTAGCTCTGGTGTAAATGCACCTTTAATTTATTCTTAACTAAATTAAAAAGCACATTTCCTTAGAGATATTAAGCAAATAAACTGATCTAACAAAACCAGTGGAAACATATTATTAATTTATTCTTTGAAATTAAATTAATATATCAAATAAATTTTTCAATAACAATAATTTTTAGCACTTCTACTCATGAATATATGCTCATATGCTACCCTGAATGCAGTTAACATTTTGGTTAGTAGCTATACCACTTTCAATATTTGACTAATATGATTTGAAAATACTTCTTCTTTCTTAGCATTATAGTTCTGAGTGGACCAATGCTTCCTCAAACAATTTTTGCCATCTATCTCTATCCGATGTCAAGTTTTTCTAATCGCTCATAAGTAATTTCATTAAATGGTCTTTTGCATTATTTAGCTAACTCTTTCTAAATATGTGTCTTCTTCGAGATCCAATTAGGTTTCTTAAAAGTGCTTGTTTTGGTGATCGCTCTCGGTTCATGCGCTGATCGTCTCCTAGCTATCTTAGTTTTTGTAACTTGTCGATTGAATTCTCTAATTCGTAGTTGTAGAGAATACGATATGTGCTATCATCTAGACCTATTGTGACAAAAATATATTTATAACAATAATTGATTCTGAAAAATTTTCTTCCATATGACTTTCTGAGATGTTAACATACCGAACGTAGCATACCAAATTAATTTATATTAGTGGAATAATTCACAATGACTTGATTTGAGAACTCTTTCATATTGTAGAGTAAATAAATATTGTAAAACAAGTGCTCCCTGCAGCTAATAGATTTATTAAAACAACAAAGTCGTAGTGAACATTAGACTTTTCGTTATCTATTTGCAGCAACTGCGGATTTTTAAAATTATAATTTAATTTAATTAATTTAATTTAAATTAATCTCAATTAATTTAGTGAATTAACTTCGTTATAAAAATGTCACTTAAACAGCTTGTGGAGGGTGATTGTGGTGGAGTCAATCCACTGATGCAGCTTGGACAGCAGTTCACTCGCGATGCTGCACGTAGAGATGAGGGATTCATGCAACCTGGCTTTGAACGGCGTATGCACCCAAATGAACAAATGGTTAATGAGTTCCTTGGACACGTAACAGCACCGCCACAATCCTTTCAAATGGAGACGCTGATACAGGAAATGCGTGAGATTGAAAAAGGCAACACTGGTGCAATTGCATTTAATGCTGCTCCGCGTGTTATTGATGAAGTTACAGGACAATGGGCTAAGGAATATACACAAGGACAAAGTCAAATGTTACATATGCAACCGCAACAACAACAAATAACGCATGTACGTGAATTTTTCGAAACAAATCCAAGTAGTGCAATGCAAATGGGCTATGGCAGCACGACATATAGACCATATGTGCCAATGCTACCACCGCCACAGCAGCAGAGTTTTGGGCCAACTGCACAATTTTTCGAACAATGCGAGGCACAAGAAAAAGCCGTTGAGGCTCAATCCAAGGTAAGTTAATCTATTACTTGTGATCTCATATGTTTTAACTATATTCTTTTTTTTTTTTTTTGATGCGTTGGTAGTCAATAGCAGGGAACTGGTTTGACGAGTACGAACAAAGTAAAGAACAAAATGAGAAAGCGAGTGCTGATTATAATGAGAACTTCTGGCAACATTTACAGGATGAATGGCAAAAACTTTCAGATAAAACTGAACATCCTTGGCTGTCAGAATTAGATGAAAACTATGATCCATATAAAGAGTATCAATTCACCGAGGACAATCCTATGGCACAACTGGAAAATGCTTTTGAAAAAGGATTAGAGTATTTGTCTAAGGGTGATATACCTAGTGCAGTGCTCTGCTTTGAGGTGGCAGCACAAAAGGATCCCGAAAACGCTGAAATTTGGGAACATTTGGGATTAACGCAAGCAGAAAATGAGATGGATCCACAAGGTATAGCGGCTTTAAAACGTTCCTTAGATATAAGATCGGATAATAAACGGGTGCTAATGGCGCTCGCTATTTGCTATACGAACGAAAGCTTACAGAGTCAAGCACTTAAAATGATTACGAAGTGGCTACAAATCAATCCGAAATATAAACACTTAATTGAACAACATCCAGAATTTCAAGCCGAAAATGAGGCTATAGCATCTTCACTGATTCGCGGTAATAAATTAGTAGAATTACAGAATGTATTTCTCGAAGCAGTGCGCTTGAATCCAAGCGAAATAGATCCAGAAGTGCAGGAAGCATTGGGCGTACTTTATAATTTATCTTCTGAATTTGATAAGGCAGTTGATTGCTTTAGTGCGGCTCTCTTTGCAGACCCACAAAATGCGAAAATTTGGAATCGTTTAGGCGCAAGTTTGGCAAATGGTTCACGTTCCGTGGAAGCGGTAGAAGCATATCAACATGCTTTGCAACTACAACCAGGATTTATAAGAGTACGCTATAATGTGGGCGTATGCTGTATGAATTTAAAAGCCTACAAACAGGCTGCGGAACATTTATTAACCGCTCTCAACATGCAAGCTAATTCAGCGGTTCTTAAAGAACTCCCAGCTGTAGCGAGTTCTGTGACAAGTGGCCAGCATCAAATGTCAGAATCTATATGGAGCACTTTAAAAATGGTAATATCACTTATGGGACGATATGATTTACAGGATGCAGTGAATAATCGAAATTTAGACATTTTAAATGATGCTTTCAAAGAATGAACACATTGCTCCAAGTCTATAGTTTCAATGTTAGGGGACAGATATATATACAACATTCTGGTTTAAATATTTATATGTTTATATAGAGACAATCTTTTGTATTGTAAATAATTTTAATCGAAGAAAAAAATGTTAGTGATAAATACGCTTACAATTTTTTTTTTTTTAACTTGTCTGTATTCATTTTTATACATCGGATGTGGGATTATGTATAGATTATATGGTTTTATTTTATTTTATCAATTTTTTAAACTGTAAGGCATTGTGATTTTTATTTTAAAAAATATATAAAGCTTAGAATCCAAAAATTTCGTTTTAATCTATAATTTTTATTTATAACATATATAAATATATATTATATATATTTTATATATATATATATTTTATATATTTTATATATTTAGTTATAGGTATTAACTAGGGATAGACAATTGAAAAACGTTTAAACTAAGCATTAATGGCTACAGAGGCGTGGCCAAAATTGTGCCAAAGGGAGTTATACTAGAAAATATTTTTTTGCCAATCTTTTTACTTTGGATTATTTATGTTTATATTATCAAGGGGGAGATCTATAGCCTTTTCACCTGGACACGTTTTTAAACGTACATCTATAAACGTAACATTATGAGCGAATTCTCTTACTGACTAATGGTCACTAAACTAATATAGCTATCTTTATGAAATACAACGAAATAGATCTTTCAACAGATAAGGTGCACAGAGGGAGCTCAATGCAAAGCCCAAAACACAAGTTAATCTATCCGAAAGTTGGTTTATTTATTTAGCAAGATAAGTTACTGATAAGTAAATCAGTAACTTGTCTTGCTAATTTCTTATCAGTGAGTAGTTAGGTATGTTATTAAAGACGCTATTATTAAGTAATACACTGTCGTCAAACAATCGCTACTAGATTTAAAAACATTGGAATTTAATAGGCTTTACAAAATCATTGTAGAAAGTGTAATAATAAATGGATATGGTCTCTTTTATATAATTTATATATTGAAAGTACTAGAAGAAAAAGGGATTTAATCTTGTAATAGTTATGGGGTTCTAAAATACACCTTTACAGTCTGTTGTTAATATTCCAAATTAAATGCGCGAGTACCAGTTCCTCTAACTGTTGAAATTAAAGACACAACTCCCTCTCTCTATAACTAAAAAAATGTGTTTCTTCCTTATCCGATAATTATTTTTCTTTTCTTTAATTGTTTCTTTAGTAGTTTAAATATTTGCCATAAGGATTTAAAATGTAATCGCCAGTTTGATTATATTTTAAATCCTAATCATTTATCTTATATAAATCATTCTAATCATATCTTCTTTTGTTGCTATTATTGTAGTTAGAATCAGGGATTTAATAATGTTGAAGAAAAATAATTAAAATATGTTCAAAAATGATTTATCATCTTTAACCAGAAAAAATTATTCCCTATATGAAATTCATCGATAAGTTATATACACATTATCGGCCACACATATGTTGTTAGAATGCCCTGCGCTAATGCGCATACGAAATAGGCTCCTAGGAATGTATATTCTTACGGAAGAGGCAATAAAACTCTGTAAAGTAGGTTCTATACTATTTTTTATTGACGCAACAGGGCTTATAGACCTACTCTAAGCCCAGAAGGGGGTACAATAGACCCGACGATCGAAGTGCTACATCCCCTAACAATAATAATATATACACATTATGTACGAAACATATATGGAGCTCAATATAAAAAGACAGTTAGGACTTATTCTGATGAAATTAGTAAAAATATGTGAGTACTTGACTCAGTAACCAAAATGTTCTGACCTACGATATCCAAAAGAAAACTATTAATCCCTTTCGTTTCATACTTAAAAACTAAAATATTCTTACCAAGAAAAAACTTATTCTTTGGTTCTTACCTACGATATCCAAAAGAACAGCTATAATCCCCCCTCCCTCTCATACTTGCTTTCCAAGCATATGCTAAGCCATGTATACGTATTTATAATTTCTTTCATGTTATCTGCTATATTGATCTCAACGGACTATTACAACAACAACAGACATAGACAGCGAGATTTGTTTAAATTTTCAAGTCAAATTTTTAAGTAAATTTTTTATATACAATGAGAAAATATCTATTTCGAAAAAAATAAAATAATTTATATTTTATTAAAATTACAAGTGATTTTTATTTTCATAAATATAAAAGCACAATTTTATTATACATAAAGTTATATATACATAAATACAATATATATTATGAAACAATTTTAATAATATCAAATACATATATATTTTTGTGAAATATATGTTAATAATTTATTATTATACACATATTAAATATATATGTTTTCTTGTCAATTTGTTAATAAAAAGGAATGCATAGCTAACACTTATATTATTAATTTTTCAATATATTTCTCTTAATTAAATAAACTGCAACAATTCCAATCAACAAAGCACCAAGTATGATTCCAGTTTCTCTGTTTTTTGTTTGGAATGTGAAAAAAATAATTAATTACAATTTGTTAATTTTAAGATTATAAATATTTTTCTATTATACTTTTTGTTATTAAAATAAAATATACAGAATAAATGCAGCAAACAACTATATATAGCAACCAAAACCAAATTATGATATATAGCAAATCATAATTACATTATATTACAGCATTGCTTATTTGGATTTTCATTTGCAGAACTATTCACGAACGTATACGTAAAAAAATTAAAATAGAAAGTAATTAAAAACTTAAATAACATAAGCAATAACTTAATTTATGTCATTAAATTACAAATGATTATGAATGTTAAATTAAATATAATACAAAACAAAAGTAATTATTATTTTTTCATTGATTGTTAAACTACGGTGCATTATCGAATTAATTAACATGGCACTTACAATTAACTTTTATAGAATTTCACTTTTTTAGTTGAGAAATATTTAAAACTATTTTAGAAATTAATAAAGGAATATATTATCATTAACTATAATTAATAAAATAGCAAAAAGTTAATCTTTAAAAAGGTAAAAAGAAATTGGTTCAAGCACTCATAAAAAACAGTTAATAAAATATATACAGATGTATATATCATATATGATATGTTATATAGAACACACTACTAAATATAAAAGTTATATTTTAATTAAAGCATATTTCTTTAAATGTTTAAGACAATATAAATATTTAAACATAAGACAATATAAATGAATTTTTACTATTCACATAATGAAAAATATTCCACGAGTCATTGACATTGACATTGATTAATCACATGATTAGTAAATATTTTACAATTTATGTTAATGAATGAATAATTTTTTTTCTTTATAAACCTTAAAGCAATCAAAGTTATTTACAACTATTTACAAAAACCAATTCTTACAGAACAAGGGTTTTTATCATAAATTACATGCAAAATTACAGCAAAAGTGAATTAAACCAAAGATGCTTACCTAACTGGCAATTGAACCTTACGATCCCTCTTCGCCAAATCTCCTATGTAATATTTTTTCATCATTTCCCTATAAAAGTGCAATATATAAAATATATTTGTTTTATAATATATAAAATAATAAAAAGTTATTTTTTTTTATTTTATACGAGTACCACAACCACTTCGAACTTAACAAACCTAGCTTCGCTACTGTGACCAACATCTTCGAAATCTTTTGTGGCATCACGGCCAGCAGCATCATCTAATGTTTCTTCACCACCAGGATGCTATCCAAATATATTTAATATTATTTTGATATATGCTTAATTAAATATAAGTATTCAATTTAATATAAAAATTTACCTCACTTCTAAATTTCGTCAGATTGTAAACCTTATTATCAATAACTACCCAAAGATCATTTGGCTTATTATGCTCTTTTACTGTAGCTAAAGTTATTTCAGGTTGGACATTAGCTTCTGCCATTTTTAAGAAAAGTTTTAGAAATTTTCACAAAATATAAATTTTTTTTAATCAACAAGTTAAGGAGGTTTTTGGTTTCTGGAGTGTTAAGAACATATGATGTGAACATATAAAAATCTATAACAGCATTTGATAAGCCAACCATCCACGTAAAGTGTAACAAGATAAAAGTTTGCTAATAACCCCAATTCTTTCTTTCAAATTAGCAAAAAAATACACGAAACTTACGAAAGAAAACATGTGAAACAACATCAATGCTCATAAAATCTTTAGAGTTGGGTTTTACTCAAAAAAACTTTTACGTTTTAAATTTTAGTACACAGAAATTTAAGAATCAATCTATTGTGAATATTCACTGGTAATATGTTGCAAAATGCCAGTCATCCGTTAAAATTATATGAGTAAAAATAATATCAAATTGCAATATATCAAAACAATAAAATAAAAAATGCTTACCATTACACTTCTAAAATTCATGTTGTTTTCTTTTATTTAAGTTCCTTTATTTTTAGTGTTTACACAACTCAACAAAAAAACATTTGTCATATTTGAAAAATGATGCCAATTTATTTCAACCAGAATTAATACTGTTTTTTTACAACTTTGAAAGAAAAAATTACGGCTATATTTATAATTAATAATAAGTTTAATTATATTTTCCAAACACAAAAAGTAATGAATAAAAACAATTTTATTATGACTATTTATTTACATACTGATTAAAAAAAAAATCATTATTGATGAAGAAATAAATTACTTGTAGTAAAAGAAAAATACAATTAATTCAATTGCTAGTATTTATTTATTAATGACATTTTCGATGGGTTAATCTGGGGTAACATGTTTAATTGAAATTCACTTTTAACTGGACTGACAAAATAATAACATCACAAACAGTCACAGAACACTATTCATATATTACACTAATCGAAAACACCATAAGAATTATTGATTATTAAATCAAATACTAATTCGAACATAGAAATCGTATTAAAGTATAACCAACGTAGACGCGCAGTATATTAATAATATAATCGTTAACGATCCTAATAGCAGGATCATATGGTGAATACGTTCCTTTAATTAGGCAATGTAAGACATGGTTTCGACAATTTGAAATTGGTGATTTCTATGTGAAAGACAGTGAGCACTCTGGTAGGCCACAAAACACCGAAGATGAGCAATCGCAGAAACTGTTGGATGATAACTCATCTCAAACTTAACAACAAATGACTAAAGCGAGCAATAGAGAAATTGGGTAAATGGATCCTACACAGACATATAAACAATGTTATATATAATGTTATATATAAATGATAATGATTGTTAAATGAAATATAATAGAAAAAAAATACAATTATTTATTACCTATTATTGTGTTAAGTATAGTTGAGTCAGTGCACTTGAGCACTTTTACTCTCTTTTAACTGTGAAGTTTCTTCATAAGCCCACTCTACGCCTTGACTGGATTATTATTTATCACTTTTTCATACTAAGCAATAATTGACCTCAGATCTACACACCTCCCCGAGAAGCCTGTAACCATTCTGAGATTCGACAATGCGTTTTTGGTAATCCTGTTAGTTTTTGTAAATAATTTTAGGCTCTATCCTTTATGTATTTTTTGATCGGATCAATCTTGTGGTCCCTGAGGATGTTATTCGTTCTATTGTACCATGGTACCTTGAAAAATATTCTCAGAGCATTAACGAAATAATTAATGGTTGGGTGCGGGGTGGTAAAGAAACTTTGTCGTCGAACTTGACGATTGGCAGCGGAGCGTAAAGCTGGCCGTTCTTAGAACCAATTAATATGATACTTGTCATTACATTTAAATAATTTAACACTTTATAGTTGAGAAATAAATAAAACTTCTTTTTAGAAAGAAATAAGGGAATATTTTATTATTATTTAAAATTAATAAAATACCACAAAGGTTTAAATAAAAAACATGAAGAAAAGAGATTAAAAAAATCAAATCACAATAATTAGTTGATTGCACTACAATATCGTATTACATGATCATCGTACTATATGTATTTCAAAAGAACGGATAAACTGAATGCTTCTTGCTTTAAAAATTCAAAGACAATTAGTCTTCTAGAAGAAATAAAAATTTTAATAAGTATAATATATCGATTAGTTGTTGTTGTACCACGCTGAGGTCTAAGCCCCATGATGTATTTTGGGACCAACACATTTCACCTAAATCTATTTCGGACAATAAGCACATTTAAAACATAGACTTTTTCTGAATTATGGTTTTTGCAATTTTTTTCTGCCGATATAGGTACCACAAACTACTCATAACCATAAATACTAAATATATCTTTAAACACTAATAAAACAATTTATTAACATATCTAATTTTTTAATTAATTTTATAATTTTTATTTTTAATCGTTAATACATGAGAATCTCTAACTAAATCGGATTAATTCCGAACCATAAAATAAGACCATAGATAATATTTCAAATATTTATTTGACTTCTAAAGTTCTCTGATAAGCAGCGAAAGCCAAACGCTTTAATTTGTCACTGACAGCAGGTAACGCTCTTGGCATTACGCATTCTCTAGCAGGTAAACCGCACAGAAGTCTACGTATTTTCAAATCTTGACAAGCGCTCAAAGCCCGGCTGTTAGGTCCGCAAACATTTGAAATTAATTTGCTCTTTTCCTTATTACTTAAACGTTCACCCACTTGCATATAGGCGAGCGGATGCATATGATTAATGTTGAGAGTACTTTGATTATTTTCATCGAATGGTTTTAATTGAGGCTTACAATTAACTACATCATTTGTGTTCTCATCAGTCTCCATTGTAATTTGAGAGTCTTCATCTCCAGCACATATTTCACTTTTAATTTCAGTTTTGATATTCAACTCTCCGAGCTCTTCATAAAGTTTTTGTTTTGATTCTGTAAGTAAACGTCTAGCATAATCCTCACCACCCATACGCATAGATATGCCAATATCAAGTATAATACGATGTGGTTGCCATTTTTGTTTGGCTGTTGTGTGTTGATCGTTGGCACTTGGTGTTGTGTTTCCAGCCTGTTGTTTGGTTTCGGCTATTAATGATGCCCAATCGACACCTAAAGCATCACCAACACCTTAAAATGTAAAACGTGTTAATAAAAATAAATAAAAATGCGATTTTAAACTATATCCACCTTTGTGACGGGCATCTTCTTCCAATTCTCCATCAGATATTTCTTCAAAATCTAACATTTCTTCATCGTCAGCTTTTTCTTCTGTGTTTATTGTATCTTCATTTTGTGATATTTTCGGTTCAGTTATGCTGTCGGATTGCGTTGATTCCTTTAAACTGATCTCATTTTCAGCATCAGTCTTAGCTTTTCTTTCTGTCTTATTGAGTATGTCATCATCGCTATCACTGATTTCGCTGAGTTCTCCATTTCCTTTATCGTCTACAGTTGCAATTTCTGTAACAGTTTCTGAAGATTTTTCTTCAACCACCTTTTCGACATTGAATTTGTTATCAGTGTCAGCTACAATTTCTCCGGCTTCAGGCTTATCTTCTTCAATCGTAGATCCTTGCTGTGGACGTACTACGCTTACTTGACCTAAAATGCCTACACAAGTATAAATATTTCTATGAATGTATAAATTTTTTTATAGGAAGACGTTTAAAGTTACCTGGATTTGTAACAGCATTTGCTGCACTTTGTGCTGCTGCTTTAGCTGCCGCAACTGCAGTAGTTGCCGCAGCCACTGCACTAGCCTGAGCAGCGGCTTTTGCTGCTGCTAAAGCTGCCTGTTGTTTTTTAATTAAATTGGGATTAGTATATGTCATACTGCGTTTATTTGGAAAACGTGGATTACTATGATAACCACCTGGTGGTTGGACTGGTAGTGTCATCAGTGGTGGTGGATGAGGTCTATAGCCCCCACCTGAAGGAACACGTTCCCCATGATCAATTAAACCTCCACGTCTAAAACCTCTACCGCGTTCACTACGATGATGTATCATTAGGCCAGGACCACTACGTGGTAAGGGTTCTTCTCCATCACGCCACTCATTTTGCCAACGTCTATCCAGCTGTTCAGTTCGTGATGGTATCAAGTTTTTATCTCGTTGATCATGTTCCGACCACACATCTCGTTGAGTAGTTGCACCACTAAAACCTGGTGCTTCACGTAATATGGGCTTTTCTGCCTTACTATCTGGTTTTTCTTTGATTTCATCAGCATCCCAATCAGGTTCCGAAGGTGCTCGTTGATCACGTTGCAGTACTTTTGCAGAAACAACGCTGGGTGTAATTGCATTTGGATTAGTTCGTTTTTGAAAACCACTGCGAACAGGCTCCTCCCAAGTACGTTCACGTGGCATCTCCCAATCAGCTTTCCAATCACCACGTGTACTGATAGCACGCTCTCTATCTCGTGTAATACGTTCGCGTTCATCAGTATATATCATATCATGGTCCATTTCGCGAAAATCTCTATGGTCGTGCATATCATGCAATTCACGTTCACGAGTATCCAACCAAGTGTCGCGTTCTCGTGTATGTCTGGTTTCATCAATATAACTTCTATTGTATGACCTTTAAAAAATAATTTAAATGACCATATTTTGATAAAAATAAATAAAAAGTATTACCTATCTCTCTCTTCTTCAGAATACATTTCACGAGGATCGCGTAAACGTGATGTGTAATGGTCACCTAAAGGACTCAAGTCCCTACGCCGTGATACCATATATTCCCGCTCACGACGCAACTCATCTCGCTCAAGTAAACCACGCCTTTCTGCTTCCATGTACTCGCGTTCGCGCTCGTATGCAAGATCTCGCTTAGAAACATGTCGTGACCGTTCAACTGCTTCCAAGGAACGTTCACGACTATTGTAACCTCTTGCCTGTGCAATAGCTAACTCTCGTTCGGCTGGTCGTGGTAGCAATCTTTCGCTACGTTCTGATGAGCCATACTTTTTATCTTCATCTTCACGTCGAATCTTTTCACGTGCTAAACGTTCACGTTCTCTTTGACGTTCCTGACAACGTGCCAATGCCTCAGCACGCTCCTTGTCTCTTTCACGACGTTCACGTTCTCTAATCAAATCATCATGATGCCGAATTTTATGTTCATGTCTTTGGCGGTCACGTTCTGCAGATGGTGTACGGTCACGTGTACGAGTTTGTATAATAATTTTTTCACGTGGCATCAATTGATGATGTACACGTTGTGGAGATTTTTGCCTTTTAACTTCCTGGGTTATTCTAATTTTAGTTATTTTCGACGGTGAACGACTACTAGCATGATGACGCTCTCTATCAGCACGATGTTTCATTCGCTCCCGTTCACGATGCTTACGTTCTGCCAATTTCTTTATCTTCGCTTGCGTGCTAGGAGACAGTGGATGATGAGAGTGTCCACTTAACGCAGCAGCAGCCGCCGCAGCTTTTTTCTTAAGTTTTAGTTTACGTTTTAAGTCAAGCCTTTTCGCTTCCAATTTTTTACATTTCTCACGCTTTTCTCGTTTTCTTCGTTCATCAGAGGAACTACTAGCCTTTTTCCTTTTACGTCTTCTATCACTATCGGAGCTTGAATAAGTGCTACCCGATGAGCCGGAATCAGATTCAGAACTACTCGAACTCTCGGAACTGGATGGAGCTTGACGTGACTTTTTATAACGTCTTAATGCTTCTTTAGATTTTTTATCCATGTTAAAACAGTTTATTGTGTACAAATTTTTCCACAAAATGTATTCCGTCTCTTCTTTTAACTGCGAAAACTGACAACTCACATACAATGCTTCTTTTTACCAAAATTCATTCACAATAATTATTTCAAGAAATAAATTTTTAGATAATGTTTCAGCGCGTATCATATTATTTTATTGTGAATAGCACAACATATGTTAATTTATTAAATTAATATTTATATTATTTTTGTACGTAAAAACTAATTTATATTAAAATCCGTTGAGAGTGAGAATGGGTGATATGGTAATAAACTGGGAGGATAGCGTTAAATATCTCGGGATCGCGTTGGACAAACGATTCACATGGCTTAAACATGTTCAACTGAAAAGAACTAGCTGTACCAAAATTCTTCATTACCTCCAACCGCTATTTAGAAAAGAAAACCTCAATGCTAAGAACAGGAAACTGATATATAACCAAATAATTTGTCCGTCACTTCTATATGGTTGTGTAGCGTTTAGCAAAGCTTCAAACACTACTATTCACCAATTAGAAATTGCACAAAGCCAGGCTCTGAGAAGACTTTTCAAGGTTCCTTGGTACATTAGGACGAATGACATCCTTAGGGACCTCTAGATTGATCCCATCAAAAAATACATAAAGGATAGAGCCTTGAAATTATTTGCGACATTTGACAGACTTACTAACACGGCGTTATCAAATCTCAGAATGGTTACAGGCTCCTCGGGGAGGTATGCAGATCTGAAGTCAATTATTGCTTGGTCTAATGAAGTGATAAACAATAATCCAGTCAAGGCACAAAGAGGGGTTTTGAAGAAACCTCGCAGTTAATAGAGAGTAAAAGTGCTCTGGTGCACTGTTTCAACTTGCTTGAACATAATAATAAAATGTTATTTTATCTGAAAATTATGTTTTGAGGTTTCGACAACATATAATATATACCGCATATTATAATATATATCTCATACATGATATGTTCCACGAGCTGTAGTAACTTTGAGTAACACTGTGTATACACAAGTGCCTTCCGCGAGCAAATTTTCGAGTAAATGAGAACATCTAAGAGAGCGTAACATCCCTGTCGAATTTTAAAAATGCTACACAGACTTTAATCGGATATTTTATTTCAAGTAAAATTTGTGTGATGTGTGAATAAGCTGTTTTGGTTTGAATTTAAATTTTTCTGTTGTTTATTTGCACGGCACTGGAGTTTTTACCAGATTTTAAACAAAGGTGATCCATAAAAATCTGTTTAAGAATGTAATTTGACACTTTTTTTGTGTTACGCTCTCAGTTTGTATTTTACTTGAGTTTTACTACGAGTAGCTCGTGGAACAGACCTATTATATATATAATATGAGGTGAATAACTTATGGTGATATACGAGCAATGCAACAATCAACAGCGAATTAAATATGAAGAGGAGCGAAGAGGAGAATTGAATCTACTTATAGAACGTTAAATGATGATAATGCCATAATAATACGTACTTACAAAGGAAGCTGGTATCGCACAAAAGCAATATTATTTTAGCATGAAACATAGTAATCAAATCGCATTGCGGTTATCTATATAAATACATAAGTATCTAGATCTAACGTTGTTAGCACAAGTATACAGATATAGTCGTTTAATTCTCAAAATTACAAAAAATTGGATTAGAAGGAATCAAAGAACTTAATAACAGTTTCAATCTTGAAATTATGAAAAATCGGATTCAAATTAAATCTAAAAGCAACATAAAATACTGACTTCTACCTTCATTCCTATTCCTTTCCTATATCCTAAATAATCCGTTGTAAAAAATAAAACAAATGTGTTTATTTATATCATAATAACTGTTTATTTTTGTAATAATTACTATTTTAATATTTTATACCGAATGGGCGTTTTTAATAAAAAAAATTGAATTCATTTGAGCCACAGCTAATTTTGAATTTTGTATTTCCGAAAACACATCAAAATACTCCTCCGCGAAGACGCAGCACCAAATGGAGTGTAGACTCCTTCTGAATATTATAATCAGATAAAGTGCGACCATCCTCCAATTGTTTGCCAGCAAAAATGAGACGTTGTTGATCTGGAGGAATGCCCTCTTTATCTTGAATCTTAGCTTTAACATTCTCAATACTATCAGATGGCTCGACCTCTAAGGTGATAGTTTTACCGGTCAAAGTCTTGACAAAAATCTGCATACCGCCACGTAGGCGTAATACCAAATGAAGTGTGGATTCTTTCTGTATGTTGTAGTCAGAGAGGGTGCGACCATCTTCCAATTGTTTACCAGCGAAAATCAAACGTTGTTGGTCTGGAGGAATGCCTTCTTTATCTTGAATTTTGGCCTTGACGTTCTCAATCGTGTCAGATGCTTCGACTTCCAATGTAATGGTTTTGCCAGTCAAGGTTTTTACAAATATCTGCATACCACCCCGAAGACGTAATACCAAATGAAGTGTGGATTCCTTCTGAATGTTGTAATCGGAAAGAGTACGTCCATCTTCCAATTGTTTACCGGCAAATATCAAACGTTGTTGGTCTGGAGGAATGCCCTCTTTGTCTTGAATTTTAGCCTTGACGTTCTCAATACTATCAGATGGTTCGACCTCTAAGGTGATCGTTTTGCCTGTTAAAGTCTTAACGAAAATCTGCATACCGCCACGTAGACGTAATACCAAATGCAAAGTAGATTCCTTCTGAATATTGTAATCGGAGAGAGTACGTCCATCTTCCAATTGCTTACCAGCGAAAATCAAACGTTGTTGGTCTGGAGGAATGCCCTCTTTATCTTGAATCTTGGCCTTGACGTTCTCAATTGTGTCAGATGCTTCGACTTCCAATGTAATTGTTTTGCCAGTCAAGGTTTTAACAAATATCTGCATACCACCCCGAAGACGTAATACCAAATGAAGTGTGGATTCCTTCTGAATGTTGTAATCGGAAAGAGTACGTCCATCTTCCAATTGTTTACCGGCAAATATCAAACGTTGTTGATCTGGAGGAATGCCCTCTTTGTCTTGAATTTTAGCCTTAACGTTCTCAATGCTATCAGATGGTTCGACCTCTAAGGTGATCGTTTTGCCTGTTAAAGTCTTAACGAAAATCTGCATACCGCCACGTAGACGTAATACCAAATGCAAAGTAGATTCCTTCTGAATATTGTAATCGGAGAGGGTGCGACCATCTTCCAATTGTTTACCAGCAAATATCAAACGTTGTTGGTCTGGAGGAATGCCCTCTTTGTCTTGAATTTTAGCCTTGACGTTCTCAATACTATCAGATGGTTCGACTTCTAGTGTAATGGTCTTGCCGGTCAGGGTTTTAACAAATATCTGCATACCGCCACGTAGACGTAATACCAAATGCAAAGTAGATTCCTTTTGAATATTATAATCGGAGAGAGTACGTCCATCTTCCAATTGTTTACCGGCAAATATCAAACGTTGTTGATCTGGAGGAATGCCCTCTTTGTCTTGAATTTTAGCCTTAACGTTCTCAATGCTATCAGATGGTTCGACCTCTAAGGTGATCGTTTTGCCTGTTAAAGTCTTAACGAAAATCTGCATACCGCCACGTAGACGTAATACCAAATGCAAAGTAGATTCCTTCTGAATATTGTAATCGGAGAGAGTACGTCCATCTTCCAATTGCTTACCAGCGAAAATCAAACGTTGTTGGTCTGGAGGAATGCCCTCTTTATCTTGAATCTTGGCCTTGACGTTCTCAATTGTGTCAGATGCTTCGACTTCCAACGTAATTGTTTTGCCAGTCAAGGTTTTAACAAATATCTGCATACCACCCCGAAGACGTAATACCAAATGAAGTGTGGATTCCTTCTGAATGTTGTAATCGGAAAGAGTACGTCCATCTTCCAATTGTTTACCGGCAAATATCAAACGTTGTTGATCTGGAGGAATGCCCTCTTTGTCTTGAATTTTAGCCTTAACGTTCTCAATGCTATCAGATGGTTCGACCTCTAAGGTGATCGTTTTGCCTGTTAAAGTCTTAACGAAAATCTGCATACCGCCACGTAGACGTAATACCAAATGCAAAGTAGATTCCTTTTGAATATTGTAATCAGAGAGGGTACGTCCATCTTCCAATTGTTTACCAGCGAAAATCAAACGTTGTTGGTCTGGAGGAATGCCCTCTTTATCTTGAATCTTGGCCTTGACGTTCTCAATCGTGTCAGATGCTTCGACTTCCAATGTAATAGTTTTGCCAGTCAAGGTTTTAACAAATATCTGCATACCACCCCGAAGACGTAATACCAAATGAAGTGTGGATTCCTTCTGAATGTTGTAATCGGAAAGAGTACGTCCATCTTCCAATTGTTTACCGGCAAATATCAAACGTTGTTGATCTGGAGGAATGCCCTCTTTGTCTTGAATTTTAGCCTTAACGTTCTCAATGCTATCAGATGGTTCGACCTCTAAGGTGATAGTTTTGCCTGTCAAAGTCTTTACAAAAATCTGCATACCACCACGTAGACGTAACACCAAATGCAAAGTAGATTCCTTCTGAATGTTGTAGTCGGAGAGAGTACGACCATCTTCAAGTTGTTTGCCAGCAAAGATTAGACGTTGTTGATCTGGCGGTATACCTTCTTTGTCTTGAATTTTAGATTTTACATTTTCTATTGTGTCCGAAGATTCTACTTCCAAAGTGATGGTTTTTCCAGTCAAAGTTTTGACAAATATCTGCATACCACCGCGAAGACGAAGAACCAAATGAAGTGTTGATTCCTTCTGAATGTTATAATCAGACAAAGTACGACCGTCTTCAAGTTGCTTGCCAGCAAATATTAAACGCTGTTGGTCTGGAGGAATACCTTCTTTATCTTGGATTTTGGCCTTAACATTTTCTATTGTATCAGATGCTTCAACTTCCAATGTTATGGTTTTGCCAGTTAAAGTTTTAACAAAGATCTGCATCCCACCTCGTAAACGAAGGACCAAGTGTAAAGTGGATTCTTTTTGTATGTTATAATCAGAAAGGGTGCGACCATCTTCAAGTTGCTTACCAGCAAATATTAAGCGTTGTTGATCTGGTGGAATGCCTTCTTTGTCCTGAATTTTTGCCTTAACATTTTCGATGCTATCAGATGGTTCCACCTCCAAAGTGATGGTTTTGCCTGTTAATGTCTTCACGAAGATCTGCATTTTGATGTTAGCTAAAATAAGTAAAAGAAAATTTTAAAATCTGTTTGTAAATAAAAATTTTTCATTAATTTCTTTTTAACAAAAAACTGTTACTAAGTTTATCAAATACAATAAAACTTTGACTAGAAAACTAGCTAACTATGTTAAAAATTTTAGTATAAATGACATATACCTAGTTAAAACTGTGAGTTCATAAAGGTCAGAGAATCATTGTTCAATTAAAAATGAAAAAGTATTATATCAAAAGTATTGTCAACAAACATGACAGTTTCTTATATAGAATATACATAAGTTTGAATCAACTAAGAACTGTAGTAGTATGATAATAATATGTATGTAATCGAAGACTTATATTAAAAACATAGTTTTTTGACTTATTTTTTAACTCTTGAGTTGAATGGATTTCACCAACCAAAAAGATGAATAGGTTAGGTTATTGCAAGTACTTCTCTTGTAAGTCGAGAATGTCAGGTTTTTCTTAACGATTTGTCTAAACTTATTAGTGTGCAGTTCATATGGGTTCCGTGACACAGAGATATCTCAAACTACAAAGCAGACAGAATTGCTAAATCAGGCCCGTTACTTTCCGAAAATATTTCTTAATTGTTGGTATACCTCTTGCAAACTGGTGATTGAACGTAAATGCCTAGGTTGGTGCTACTAAAGCCAACGTAAGCCATTTTTGTCAGACGAAAATACTCATCTAGTCCAAATCTGAACAGTAATTTTCTTTAACTAAAACAAAACCAATTCAGTGCTACGGTATCTGTGATGATAGGTCACTACGTATTAGGTGTGATCACTGACTGTCGCAACAAGGAGACAAATTAAGAAGAACAAATGACTCCTCGCCTAACTCTTTAATTATTTTATACATATATTTAAGCTTATAAAGAAATCAAGTTTAAATTTAAATCTTTTTTAAAACTTAGACAAAAAAACTCACTGTATCCCTTATCATTGTGTCTCCCTTATTGATAACAAAGAATCTACCTTTAACAATGTCGTTCCCTAAACAATTTAAAGCTTATTTTATAAAACATATTTATTCATTATATGGTGCTAAAGCAATAATCCAGATCAAGGTGGGGTTTTCAATTAAACCAACTAATTCAAGCAACCTAACGGCCCACTGTCTACTTTAATTTAACTTAGGGTTTGTAATAACACAAAGTACGAGGCTGGTTTGATAAGTCAGTGACTTTTTGAATTTCTTGCGCAGTTACTCCAAATGCAACAGTCCTCGGAATGGAAGAAATCGGAAGAAATTAAAAATGGAATAACTACGATATTATCCAGCGTATGCGATTTTGGATTAACGGTAAAAAAAGTCGTGTTTATTGAGTTTAGAAAAGAATATTCATTTAGAAGATCTCTAATTTAGTTTTCTACTACTAACGACTTGAGCACTAAAACAAAGCAATGATGAAAAAACGACCAGTATACGCCAACAGAAAAGTAATTTTGTTCTATCATAACAATGTCAGACCACACACATCTTTGATCACTCGGAGCAAATTGTGTAAACTTGATTGGAAAGTTTGGATACATACACCTTATAGCACGGACTTTGCACATTCTGACTACTATTTGTTGCCGTCTCTACAAAACTCTTTTAATGGTAACAAAATGGTAATGTAGAAGTTGATAATCACTTGGCTAACTTTTTTGCCGATAATGTTCCAGACCGATGGAATTATGAAGCGACCCAGATATAACGAAAGGTCATAAACAATAGTGATCAATATAAACTTTATTAAAATCAATTTTCAATGAAAAATATTTGTTTAAAAATGTACCAAAAAACGGGGGATACTTATTAATCACCTAATATTATATATCCATCATCAAAATAAAAATGGTATTCGTTTTGAATAATGGTACTCTTTGCTTATAAATTATTTAATTCAAATAAAATCAATTCATATACCAACTGATTTAAATTATATTGTACATACATTTGAATAATGTTGAATAAGTGTTTAAGATAGGCGGTCGTAATGTCTTTTATGGTAAAATGTCGGTGAATGCATTTATACGAAAAGAGAAGAGTCACACAGTGCGTAATCAAGTCACTAGTAGTTAATATTACCAAACATTGGCGGAAAAAAATGGGGATTTTCGAATTTAAACGCACTTATAATATTTTCAACAATTTTCCACATTCCAGAAAAATGTGCAAACATAAAAGTCAAGTACGACTTTGGGTCAGTTGGTTAAGGAACGCTGACTCTGAGCTTCAAATTTGGTAGGACACGAGTTCGAGTCCTGGTACTTGCACTCTCAAAAATAATTATTTACGAATAATTAAATACAAAAATTATTTCCAAGACCACTGATGATGGGTATTTGGCAATACTCAAAACAGCTGGTTGGTTAGCCAAAAATGCAATTAATTAAAATAATATAAAATGAATTATTGTTGTTGTAGTTCACTACTTTTCGAAAATGCTTAGTTTTTGTCAATTAAGAAGTTTTATATAAAGCAAATCCCCCCCGTATAATTTCGAATAGATAGCTTTGCTACAAAAAGTTAACAAAAACCCCCTTAAAGAAGTCCCTATATACACTTCTGTTATCTACGCATATTATTTCGAATAGTCGCTTGACTACTAATACCTATCTGTACTACAAATACCTAAGGTCCTGTTAAGTTTTAAACACTTCTTTCAGAAACTTACTATTTTATATGAGTCTGACAACAATTAATTTTAACACTGAGGGATGATTTTACAATCATAGCTTCACTGGGCGTCTACACTGCCTTGACTTTGACAAGATTTTTATGTTCGAAACTGAATACGTATTATATTCGAATTTGGTCTGTGAACAATATTGTGTATGTATTGGTGAAAAACAGTGAGTGTATGCTACAATTTTCCCAATTTTAATTTGAATACTGCCTTAAGTATGACTTACTTGACGTCTACAGCTGGACTTCAGCAAAATTTTTATATTCGAATTTTGTCTGTGAAAAAGTATTTGTACCATATGTGTTAGTGATAAAATGGATGCAAAAATCTTACTAAAGTCTAGCCAGTGTGTATTAGGCAGGATAAAGTTACTAAAGTTAATAACTTTAGATTTAAGTATAACTTAAGTCAGTATTAAGAGTTAAGTAAAGATTGTGTGAAATTGTTAATAAATAATTACAAAACAGCTGTCAATTGCAAATTAGCAATAAATTGCAAATCTTATGAAATTGCTATGAGTCACATTCGCATAAAAATAATGAATAATTTATTTTCCATAAATGCCCACTTCTATGTACCATAAAATTCTATACATGCACACACACATACTAACATACACATGTACATATTTCTTCCCTTAAATTTTGTGCTTAGTAATGTAAGGGTTTTTTAGGTTAAGAAATTGCCGTCTGTTACTGGCAACTAATCCTGAAGGACATATAAAAAAAATTTCTGCTCACCAAAAAAAAAAAAAGAAAATGTAATGAATTATTTTATAGTAATTTAAAGCAATTACTTAATAGTTTTAATTTTTTTAGTAATCTGTTATTTGCTAAAAATTATATTTAACTGAAAAAACTTTTATTCTGAAACCAAATATTTTTTTTTTGATTTTCACTAACAGCAATTTGAATAAAGTTTTTAAAGCACAATTTATTATTATTTTAAAATGATATGAATAAATTGCAAAAATTCAACTTACCTTTAAATTATTCGCAAATTTTTTTTTTTGTAAAAATTTTACTAAGATCCTTGTTTTCTGCTTTATTTCACTCACGACTTGCAACCAACGTCTGCTTCGAACGACACTCACTGAACAAATAATTTGGCAGCTGCACCACTCATTTGCTTGTGACTTCTGCAATAAAATCGAGAGAAGAGAAGTATTTGTATGCGGAGATTGGTTAATTTTCATCAAAATATATCTGTCCTTTTCAAGCGTTTACATTTTACATTGAAAATGTACATATTTTAACAATTGACAGTTTCAAAATATTCAAAACTACATTTCTTTATTATATTTAAACAAATTTCAATGCTTATATATACTTTTAATTGTATTTAAAATGAAATTTTAGATTTTCAATCAAATTTACTTGTTTCTCTCATAACCAAAGAGTGTCCATCTGCTGACCTCTTTTAATAAAAACAGTTGGCAATTCACAGTACTATGGGATGAATTGCTTAAAAAACTTATAAATAATTTTTAATAATGCATGGTGTATTTAGGTTATAGTACATACACACTATCTCATTTAGGCATTGCTCATTTATATTAACCAGAGAACGTGCATATTAATGAGCTCATTTATGCAGCTGATACAACTTTTATAAACTTCACTTAATAATATATCGCGTGCGAGTTTGAAAAAAATAAGATAAAGTAAATTGAAATTTCCTAGGGATTTTTTGCACAGCACTTATGTAAATATTTATTTATTGCACTTATTTATTATTTTTGATTAAAAGTTTTCAATTTTATTTATTTATTTATTAAACATCTTATAAAATGTTCACAATGGTAACACCTAATTTACCTAATTTTTATCTAATTTACCCTACTCGAAATTCTGGTAAATACCAACATTCGATGGCATACCGACATAATTTACTATTTCCCTCAATTAACATCAATTTACTTGAACTCGCACACGGTTTTAGTAAATAGAATTTGTTTTTGTTATTCTTATTCTAATTTTATGAAGAAATCAAAAAGATTCGTTGGTTCATTGAATGCATTCCATATAAAAGTGAAAAACAACTATGAATTTTTATTTTAATAAATCTATTATTAATATCTTACTATACTGAATTTATTGTCATAAAGGTCTTAGTTTAAAGATATTTTAATTCAAAATTTAATTTGAAAATCGTCACATTTTATTATTCTTATGTTATTAATGTATTTTTAACTAACAGAATACAGGGGCTACAGAATAATGGTTTTTAGGTTAAAGACAAAATATTTCTAAAAAAAACATAAGCTCAATTAATGGGATTGGGTTAAAATAACAATTGAGATGAATTCAATATAACTGAAAGAGACAAAACCATAAAAGATATTCTATGTACATGTCTGGTCTAAGCAAGAACGCAAATGGTATATGCTTTCATTTACCCCAAAGTCAAAAAGTCATTGCTAAACAAGCCAGGTTTTGATAAGACTTTTTAAGGGACCATGGTACATTAGAACGAATGACATCCTCAGGGACCAGGGACTGGTCCGATCCAAAAATATATTAAAGATAGAGCCCTAAACTTATTTACGAAAATTGACAGGCTTACCAACACCGCGTTATTGAATCTCAAAATGGTTACAGGCTCCTCGGAGAGGTATGCAGATCTGAGGTCAATTATTGCTTAGTATGATGAAGTGATATACAATAATCCAGTCAAGGCGTAGAGAGGGCTTATGAAGAAACCTCACAGTTAAAAGAGAGTAAAAGTGCTCAAGTGCACTGACTCAAATAGCCTCAACATAATAATAGAATTTAATGGCATCGCAATAACTATAAACAAATTAGATTGTGCTCCCAATCATGTCTCTAACTAGTAGCTGAAGGATTTAGATGTTTATTTGTAAGATATGATGCTAATTAATGCAATCTAATCTAATGTACTGTCTTTTTTGTATTTATACATGTTTTTGTGTTTAGTTCGAGTACAAAGAGGTCTGGAATATAAGTTACAGAACAGACGAGACTGTGAATGGCCCACAAACGAGAATAACAATCAACAGAGAACCAAGAGAATTTGAAATTGAATTTGGAGCAATAGAGTGTGATATAAAAACGATTGGCGAGTCTCGGTTGAATAACTGATGCTTTGCTATAGGTTGATGTATTTATTTTACGTACATATCTAATAAATAATAGTAATAGTACAAAAATTAAAAAAAAAACAATTAACAAGAATTATAAATCTTATAAATAGAGCAAATGAATATATAATTGCAAAAATAGATTATAAAGAATATGTTATAAAGAATATATAAAGAAACAAACAACATTTTCAATAATATAATAAATATCCACAGCTAAATCAAGAGGAACTCTCCTATGAGTCACTCTCTTCCATACATTTTGTTGTTTACTTTGAAAACAATATCTTGTGTTTTTCCCTATTCTAATTTTAATTAATAATAGAAGAAAAAATAAAATTAAAATATTTTTAATACCAATTTGGAATTAAATTAAAATGTGTGTCTGTGTGCAATGGATGCTCTATATCCGTGCTATTATTGCTCTTTCTAAATTTCTTTTTTTTTCTCGTACTGTGACATATGATGGTTATTGACTACTCAGATACACACAATTCAAATACATATAGAGATTATTCAAGGGTATTCGCTCCTATTCCAGTAACCAAGAGTATGGCAAGCTTTACAACCTCTTATTCGAAACTTCAAGTCTTTCTTGACTTCCCTCTTCTACCCTACCCAATGTTTTGTCATAATCCTTCTGTATTACGGATCCTTCTGTATGATATATATTAATTGATCTGGAGCAATTAAAAGAAACAACAAAATTTTAGATTAATTGTGCACTATTGTTAAATTCACATAGACTTTCCGATCCCAATACATATGTTGATGTTTTTTAGCACCGCTGGATCTACACTGGCTGATGTTTGATTGCAAATACTGATCGTTTTTTAAATAATCTACAAACAAAATCTTATATAGACTAGTCAAAAAGTGAGAGTGCAGGCAAAAATCTTGCCAAGAGTCTAGCCAATATTGACACATGATTACAATAATTCGTAGAGATAATTAAGGGTAAAGAGTAATTCTATCATTGCATGTAAAGGAAAACTTTTAACATCAGTTTTCATCATACAGTAAATGAAATGTGTATATACATCACCTTATGTATAGGTATACCAATATTCTATGAGTTATTTTCAACAATATTTACTGTCAAAGTTTTGGATCATAATGAAAATCTCCTGGTATAGTTGAAAGTCTTACCTGCCGCAGTTATGGAGAGAACGATGAAACTCCTTCTCATCTGCTTTGCTTCTGCCTTATCACTTTAGGCGCTTTCTTTTTTGAAGATCTTGGCTATCTCTTTGAAAAGCATTATAAGATTTACTAAAGGTTCTAACCCTTGAGTTTTTAGTTATACAATAACACAATGGGCCTATAAGCCTAAGTGGATCCCTTGGGATGACCTAATCCGGCATAATCTAACCTAATCTTACAACTGACCCTAACCAAATAGATGGTATATAATCTGATAAATAATGTCCAGAATGTTTCTCCTTGAAGATTTACGAGTTTGTATGGAAAGCATACCATATATTCGCACAGTTCAGACTGTTATACAGACAGTTCACCTGCTTATAAGATATGTAAACATGATCTAAACAATATGCATAGAGCAAAAGACTCTGATAGATTGCACTTAAAACATTAACGCTATTTATAAGGACCTTCGTTGAATTACAGTTAATGTACATAACTACGATACAGCGCATAGCATGCACCACATAACCTTCTATCACTAATACATATATCAGAAGTGGAGAAATAAATTGCTGTCCTATAACAAATTTGAGATCATTTACCAAATCTTACAATAAACCTTTACCTTTATCATTTGTTTTTTTGCGCTTAAGAACCAAATATAATTAACGACGGCATAAAATAAAAGTCAACATAAATTTAACTGAAACAATTTTTATTAGTGCATCGAATTTTAATTTTAAACATTTAACGGAATATTGAAAATTTATCTTAAAAGAGCTTGCATAATTTATAAAATAAAGAAAAAATTGTGCATATACTGATAAATTTAGACCTTGGAATTAGAATAAATCTATTGAGCGCCACCACGAAGGCGCAAGACCAAATGAAGTGTTGATTCCTTCTGAATGTTATAGTCAGACAAGGTGCGACCATCTTCCAACTGCTTACCAGCGAAAATCAAACGCTGCTGATCTGGGGGAATGCCCTCTTTGTCTTGGATCTTAGCTTTAACATTTTCAATGGTGTCAGATGGTTCAACCTCCAAAGTAATGGTTTTGCCAGTCAAGGTCTTTACGAAGATCTGCATACCACCACGTAGACGCAAGACCAAGTGGAGAGTAGACTCCTTTTGGATGTTGTAGTCAGATAAGGTACGACCATCTTCAAGCTGCTTGCCAGCGAAAATCAAACGCTGTTGATCTGGAGGAATACCTTCTTTGTCTTGGATCTTAGCTTTGACATTTTCAATGGTGTCAGATGGCTCGACCTCTAAAGTAATGGTTTTGCCAGTCAAAGTCTTGACGAAGATTTGCATACCACCACGTAAACGCAATACCAAATGTAAAGTAGATTCCTTTTGGATGTTGTAGTCGGACAAAGTACGACCATCTTCAAGTTGTTTGCCAGCAAAGATTAAACGCTGTTGATCTGGGGGAATGCCTTCTTTATCTTGGATTTTAGCCTTAACATTTTCAATGGTGTCAGATGGCTCGACCTCTAAAGTAATGGTTTTGCCAGTCAAAGTCTTGACGAAGATTTGCATACCACCACGTAGACGCAATACCAAATGTAAAGTAGATTCCTTTTGGATGTTGTAATCGGAGAGAGTACGACCATCTTCAAGTTGTTTGCCAGCAAAGATTAAACGCTGTTGATCTGGAGGAATACCTTCTTTGTCTTGAATCTTAGCTTTCACATTTTCAATAGTGTCAGATGGCTCGACCTCCAAAGTGATGGTTTTGCCAGTCAAGGTCTTTACGAAGATCTGCATACCACCACGTAGACGTAATACCAAATGAAGTGTGGATTCCTTCTGTATGTTGTAGTCAGATAAGGTACGACCATCTTCCAACTGCTTACCAGCGAAAATCAAACGCTGCTGATCTGGGGGAATGCCCTCTTTGTCTTGAATTTTAGCCTTGACATTTTCAATAGTATCAGATGGTTCAACTTCCAATGTAATGGTTTTGCCAGTCAAAGTCTTGACAAAGATCTGCATACCACCACGTAAACGCAAGACCAAATGGAGAGTTGATTCCTTTTGGATATTGTAGTCAGATAAGGTGCGACCATCTTCCAACTGCTTACCAGCAAAAATCAAACGCTGTTGATCTGGTGGAATACCTTCTTTATCTTGGATTTTAGCTTTGACGTTCTCGATAGTATCAGACGGCTCGACCTCTAAGGTGATAGTTTTACCGGTCAAAGTCTTTACAAAAATCTGCATACCACCACGTAGACGCAAGACCAAGTGGAGAGTAGATTCTTTCTGGATGTTGTAGTCGGACAAAGTACGACCATCTTCAAGCTGCTTGCCAGCGAAAATCAAACGCTGCTGATCTGGTGGAATGCCTTCTTTGTCTTGGATTTTAGCCTTAACATTTTCAATTGTATCAGATGGTTCAACCTCCAAAGTAATGGTTTTGCCAGTCAAGGTCTTTACGAAGATCTGCATACCACCACGTAGACGCAAGACCAAGTGGAGAGTAGACTCCTTTTGGATGTTGTAGTCAGATAAGGTACGACCATCTTCAAGCTGCTTGCCAGCGAAAATCAAACGCTGTTGATCTGGAGGAATACCTTCTTTGTCTTGGATCTTAGCTTTGACATTTTCAATGGTGTCAGATGGCTCGACCTCTAAAGTAATGGTTTTGCCAGTCAAAGTCTTGACGAAGATTTGCATACCACCACGTAGACGCAATACCAAATGTAAAGTAGATTCCTTTTGGATGTTGTAATCGGAGAGAGTACGACCATCTTCAAGTTGTTTGCCAGCAAAGATTAAACGTTGTTGATCTGGAGGAATACCTTCTTTGTCTTGAATCTTAGCTTTGACATTTTCAATGGTGTCAGATGGCTCGACCTCCAAAGTGATGGTTTTGCCAGTCAAGGTCTTTACGAAGATCTGCATACCACCACGTAGACGCAAGACCAAGTGGAGAGTAGATTCCTTTTGGATGTTGTAGTCAGATAACGTGCGACCATCTTCCAACTGCTTACCAGCGAAAATCAAACGCTGTTGGTCTGGGGGAATGCCTTCTTTATCTTGGATCTTAGCCTTGACGTTTTCAATTGTATCAGATGGTTCAACTTCCAATGTAATGGTTTTGCCAGTCAAAGTCTTGACGAAAATTTGCATACCACCACGTAGACGCAAGACCAAGTGGAGAGTTGATTCCTTTTGAATGTTGTAGTCGGAGAGGGTACGCCCATCCTCCAATTGCTTACCAGCAAAAATTAAACGTTGTTGGTCTGGTGGAATACCTTCCTTATCCTGAATTTTAGCCTTGACATTTTCAATGGTGTCGGATGGCTCGACTTCCAAAGTAATGGTTTTACCAGTCAAAGTTTTCACAAAGATTTGCATGTTGAAGTTCTGAAAGTAAAAAAAATATATAATTATTAGTGATGAGCTAACAATCTATAATTATCTCTATATATATGTACATTATTAAACAGACGACTCTAAACAGTTCTAACTAAAAGCGTATAATTTAGTAATTTCTCCTGAATGTTATGATGGATTTAAAAAAAAAATTATTTGATTTTGTTTAATAACAACTTCATTGAAGGAAAAAAATATTTTAGAAACTTGGCATACTTTACAACACGTATATATTTATTTACTAAATATAAGGAAATCCAAAAATTTTTTAAAATTTATTTTATGTTGGTCTGATTAAAAAAAAATTAAATAACTTGTATTAAATTTCTGGAAAGTTGCAAATAAATTATTACTAATGATTCATTACGAATGACTCAACACTATTTCACAAGACTATATCAGCAAAAGAAAAAAATTAGGGGAGCCATTTTGAATTTCAAGAAACATTTATGTACATAAAAAAAAAAAACCACTATGTATATTAAAAAATAATTTGCACCACGAACCTGTAGTTGAACTATCACAATATGTCTAAATTTATATTATATATTTTATTTTGTTTTATAATTCACAAAGCACGAAATTTATTTTAATATTAGCTTCTATATTTATTCAAAATTCACTTTTTACAAAAATCTTTTATTCCGTTAGACGCACTAGCTCTTTTCACTTTAAACTCTCAAGTATTATTATATGCTGACGAGCTTGTGCACTTGTATTTATACTGTTTTCGATTTTGAAGGGGAAATATAAATATCCCAACAATATTGGAAATTATATGGAATAATGGAAATGCAAAAGTGGAAAAATATTTTCTATCTCTTTCCAAGTTGTTCTTTACAATATTTTGAAAAATCAAAAAATTTACTTAAAATATTTAGCTGTTGATTAGTTCGTGTAATAATTTTTATAATTTATACTACTGGTCATTCCAGTAATATAAATTAATTTTGATTTACGCACAATTTTAGTTGTTTTTTTGTTTAGAAACTTTAATATGCGCTTTTTATATACAAATTTTTTTCGTTTGTTCTAGGTACTTGTCTCTCTCTTTTAAATTTCATTTGTACAAAATAGTGTTGGTAGCCGGCAATAAAAAAATATACTTCTTAAATTTTAATAAATTTATTTTACATAATATATTACAACCAAATTAGTTTCAAAGTTGAGTCTGAAGTACATATTGAGTATATTTAAATTACAGTAAATGACTTGATGAATGTACGGAAGTAATTATTTTTTTACGGAAAAGAAACTATACAAAATTGTGTTAATAAAATTCTGTATTTGTAAATATGAACACAGTTTTACAGTTTAGTAATACAATATCCATATGTTTTTTAAGTAATGCATTCATTGCACGTGCTTACAATGATTTTAATATATAAATAGAAAATAGAATAATTATAGAATAAAAATATTGCACATACATTGATTTCATCACCAATTCAATAGCATCAAAACATGAGTAAAATTGCAATCCACTCAATGCAGTAGACTATGCGAAAACTGTTATAAAATTTAAGTTTAATTCTCAATTTTACTCAAGTATGGTATGAGCCATTAATATTATTTATACCTTGTTTTACGTATTATATAATACATAAAAAGTCACTCTTGCAATAAATAGAATTCATTATCTGTATTATAACACTGTATATATCAAAAATAAAACAGAGATTATACTTAATTGGATTGCATATAGAATGAAGTTAAGAAGAAGAACCAAATTACACATTTGGTAAAGATCTATGTGTAGAATATTGATTTGTTAATGGTGTTTCAAGTTTCAGCAAATAATAAACTAATCAAAGAACGCGAGAATCGATAAATGTAGTGCTATACTAAAAATTGGGATGGTTGATAATTAGGTTTATTGTGGAATATATCTGTGGAATATATCTGTAAAAGAATATAAATCAAATAAATATCCATAAAAACAAGCAACAAATAATAACATAGAATCTTAAGTAATGCTACAAAACAACCTTTTGTAAATAAATAAATAGCAGATATATATGCGTTGCCAATTACTAAACGCAGCTGATAGTTTATTAAAACACAGCTATTACAAAATTATTCAATTAAATTTATTATTAGTCAAAACTCACTTAAAAATACAATAATTTTAATGTATTTTCTTTTCTTTTATTTAAAAAGTAAAAAAATCACTAAGTCCGTGTGTGAGTTCGAGTAAATTGAGGTAAAGTAAATTAAAATTACCAAGAGATTTTTTGCATTGCATTTATATAAATATTTATTTATATATTTATTGCACTTATTTATTATTTTTGATTAAAAGTTTTTAAATTTATTTATTTATATATTAAACATCTTATAAAATTTTCACAATGGTAATACCTAATTTTTATCTAATTTACCGAACTCAAAATTCTGGTAAATACCAACATTCGCTGCCATACCGACATAATTTACTTTTCCCTCAATTTACCATCAATTTACTCGAACTCGTACACAGCCTAAATCGAGTATATACCACAACTGTATAAATTACAAAAAATTAATAGAATTTTAACCATTGCCCAACACTGTTTTATTTCATTGCATTAAAATTTATTCTTGGAAAGAAGGGATATTTTTCTCAAAGAAAAATAATTTCCAGGATTGATTACGGCTTTGGAAAGAATTTTGTTATTAAATTGGAACATTCTATTTATTTCCAAATAATATTTTATACAAACATATAAATATGTATGTATTTAAATGATTTGCAGAAAATCGTAACAACAACAATTCTCTTTAAAATTAAAACGTACAAATACACATACATATTTACTACGAAATAAAAAATTATATAAATTATATTCATATATAAATGTATACATTTATAAATAAATGTTTTTGAAACATATTTGACCCCCCGAGTAAAAATCGACCAATTTCAAGGAAAAAGCAAGCAAGGAAATAAAAATAAAGCCAACAAATAATTGGTAAAATTACTTACATATTATTTATGCAATTTTTCTGCAGTGCTCTATTCTTTGTCCAAAAACTGTAGAGTTTCTTTATATTTGAGAAAATACGCAATAGTTCTATAGACTTGAATATTTCTGAGGATTACCGAGTATTTGAATGCAAGTTGATTTTTCTATTATTATTCTATTTTAAGTAAAAATTTCTTAGTTTAATATAACAAAAGTGAAAACAGAAATTAGTGTAGGAATAAAAATAATATTTTAAAATTTTAGACCTACTAAGTTATATATTTTAGTTCTACACATTTTCTATGCTATGATATAATAAAATTACATTTGGAATTATATACATACATACATATGTAATTATATATAAAATAACAATGTTACATAGTTATTTGGGATTTCAGTAAAATAAAATTAAATTCTTATTTTTTTTCGTGCACATTTGTATGTGTTTGTTTGTAAAAGTTTATAAATTTCATCAGCTAAAATGTTGGAAGGGAAGTAGAAAGGGGAAATGTAATTTCCAATGACATGACCGACATTTTAAAATTTTATAATTATAATGAAATCAATCCCTTAAAGGTGGAATATGCATAAAAACTGTAAATTTAATATTTACAAATTATTTTTACATAGAAATAAAGTTTTTCTATTCCATGAGGAGTAAATTTTAATTTCAATTAAATTTTATGAAAATAAAAAAATGCATTTATTTTATATTTATTGCGTTGTATTTTTAACATTATATAAAACAAAGTATATGCGTTTTCAGTATATGGATTTTAAATGAGAGAATATTTAAGCATTATGTATAAGTACGATGACCTAACAACTCAAGCTTATGTGCTTGGTGTTGTTAGCACAACACTTTCCATTTACAAAGAAAACAGATCCAATCAACCAAAGACAGAAGGAAGACAACAAAAGAATTTATATTCCAGAAAAAAATATAATTCAATCAAAACATGAGAAAAATAACAAAAGAATTTATTTTTAATTACTGCTTAAATTTTTGTTGGTTATTTCAGTGCATTGGTTTTTAGTTCTTATCTCATCACATTGGTTTAAATTTAAAACATTTTATATAAAACAAAATCATTTCCCATATATTGCGTCTTAAAAACAGCTGACGAGTTAAACGACCTTGTTCTTATTAAACCCACAATATGAACACACTCACACACTTATACAAATAACAGTGCTACATTATTTGTTTAGAAAAAAATATTCACCCAGTAGTAAATATCTTAATGCTAATTTGTATCAAAAAATCATTGATTTAACTATGTAACTAAAAAAAAAAAGATTATTATATTATGAAAAATTGTTCCATTAAGTTTAACATGAAAAGTTCACAACACCCGCTTTACATGTGTTCAAACTCTAAAGAATAAGGATGAAAAATATCAAAGAATAAAAATTTATAGTTATTGGATGTCCGTATTATGTTAGTTTAGGTTGAAGTAGCAGCCTTGTAAACCAAAGCGAGCTGGAGCACAAATAATGACTCATAACACCACAGAAAAATTAATTTTAGTAGCAGTTAGTAGTTAGTATTAGTATAAAATGAGACAAGATATTTATTTGATTCATGAATCATGAGTCATCTGATTTCTAAAATCAGATAACAGCTTATTTGAACATGATTGAAGTATATTAATGAATCAAAATCAAAAGTATCAGTGCCAGTAGTTAGCATGGTAGAGAAAAAAAAATACTCTAAGAAAAACCAAAATAATAAAATTCTAATGAGTTTTAAGAATCTAGTATTAGTACTCACCAAGATAGACAAACAAATTCTTAAAAGTTATATGATTACATATTTAAAAAAACAAGTTTAAATAAAGCCGATAAAATTAAAATTTAGTAATGGTAGCTATCAATTTAGACATGGAGACTATTTAAGATCACAAAATAGCATACTTCGAAAAACAAAATTAGATAATACAATGGTTTAAAATCGATCGATTTTATCAATTAGTACCAATTAGAAAAAAAGTTTTATTTAAATTAAAAATTTTAAATTATGTCGATAAAAATAAGAATTACAGTTTAGTACTAGTAGTTATCAATTTAGATGTGGAAACTACTTATAGGTAGATATATATCTGATATATAATGAGATATATAAATAACATAAGATAAACGCTATGAAATTTATATATGCAAACATATTCAGTTGGTCTGTTAACATAAAAGAGTTTATCGACAGTATAAGTAATTATTACCGGATAGTTCTAAAGCAATGATTTATTAAAATAAAATAACATTAAAAATCATGTAATTTTAACCTGAACTATTCATGTGAAATTATTTATTTAGAATTTTGTATTTTGTATAGTATATTTTATAGTTCTCTTATGAACCAGTAAATATTATAACCTCGAATAGTTGGTTGTAAAGTAAATATTAATGATATATTTAGTATAGTCTTTCAGAAAAAATGAAAAATGATACGAAATCGGCATCTTTGTTTTGATATTTCTTAAAAATTAACATTTGGTAGAAAATATTACATGTATTGAAAATATATGAGATAACACAAATTTTAATTAAAGAGTAATGTCAATCTATATGCACTTTATTAAGTCGATTTACTACTGGGTACTTTAATGTTATTTACTAAACAATTGGCGTAGAATCTAATAGAAATTGCGTAAACTAATTGAAATCTTAAAAACAATGGCGAAATTATAAATTATTGTTGTTTTTGTTAAAGAAATTAAGTAAATCACATTTTAATAAG